AGAAAATTTCAAAGTTGTCAAGATCTCATTAAAATTAAAACCTAATAGGGGTGGGCAGGCGGCGGTGCGGGTGGCTGACGGCCGTGCTTGTGCCCTCTGCAGAGCGGGAGGCGGTGGCGGAGTGCGCCCTGCAGCTGCGCAGGATAGGCGACAAGTGGGACCTGCGGCAGAAGATCCTGAACCTCCTCACAAAGCTGTTCTGCCCGGAAACGTGAGCCCTGCGCGGACACGGCGCGCCGACAGCAGGGGAAGACCTTGGCTTTGTGGTTTTGAAACAAGAGACTTCACTGATACTGGGAGATGAAGAAAGCTCTTTGCGTTGTATTTTGCTGCCTGTAGCCACTCACTGAAGGTTGGCTGTCGCAACATGATTTCTTTGAAGAATGTTACAGCAATATTGGCGTATGAATGCCAGGTGGAAAAAAAAAAGAGTGATGGGGAGACTTGGGGCAAGACGGAACTTGCCCCTCAGCTTGGTCTGAGATGACTTCCAGGAGCCTGGTGTTTCCCGAGGCACACTCTGGTCCTCCTGTCCCACAGCTACATTTAACCGAGGAGCTCAGACCACGTTTGGGAAGGAGCCAAAAAAAGATGTGTCTTGGAACTTGGGATCGTACATCACAAGGCAAAAGCCAGTTGCTCGGTTTCTGAATGCTCTCGTTTTCTAAAGCATGGATTCTGCTAGATGGGGATTTGGTGGTGGGATTATTTCATTTGTTAAGTAAACCAGTATCTTTATTGAAAGTTTATTTGTTACTGGATGATGCTTCGTGGACTAAAAAATTACAATTCTATGAATTAACACGATGTTGCATAGTTCTAGTCTATATTATATATATATGTATATATAATATATATTAAAAATGTGTGCACCCCATGTGAATGAAATTAGTATTTCACAGACCTATTCACTGAATGCTACTTGTTAGGCTCAAAAAATAGTATGAAAAGTTCAAAATATGACATTAAAATACATTAAATATAGGAAAGCACAATAGTCATCATGCAACACAGAGGGGAGCATACTTTAGTATAGCATTAAGAATATATATTACACAAATAGAGCTATTAAGGTATGTGTGTTCGGTGAAAGGATTCTTTCAACATTACAAATAATTTCTTGACAACAATACAACACTGCTGAGTAAAAAAAAAACCTCTTCGGTAGATCTTAAAGTTGAATCCAAGTTAAATCTCAGGTTTTCTTGAAAATATTTATTCAAAGAAAGAAACTACCTCTCTTTGAAGAAATAATACCAATAGAATTGAATGTTATGGTCAAGTACAGGAAAATAACCTTGTATTTCTGAATATTTAACTGTACTTACAAGTGAAGGTTCTTCCCTTGTACTTTATTTCCATTTCATTTCATGGCAATGTCATTTCGGTTCTGGAATGATGGACCACATCCGGTGGATGGTGATGCATTATCCCTGTCTCACTGAGGGGTTATTACCCTTGTCTGGCTTTGGAGGAGCTGAATTTAAGTCTGCTGATTGCTGTCAAGACAAACAGTAACTCTTCTAGTCAATTGAGTCAGACAATTGAGGATCCTAAACTGTTTTTTCATACATGCGAGCTAGCAAGAAAATGGTTGAAGCTGATCAGGTTTTGTAGCTACCTCCTAGGTCAATGGTCATAATTCCTTCTCTTAACTAACCTTATATGTAATACGTTTGCATTGTATAAGGCTGTATGGTTCACTTTCTGAATTCTGGGTCTGTTCAAATATGTTTTTTCCCACCTTGTCACAAATTCTTGTTTGTATGTGTCATTAATTTTTCAGTTAGTGTTTTTGAATCTGCCTTGCAAAATTGTCGTTACGTGGCTCTGGTCACTGTGACAACCAGCGGTGTATGGCTGCTATTTGGTATCACTGATTTCACTAAGCGGAAGCTGACTGACTGCCTGCTTTACACATAGAGGACTTAATCCCGTCCTAGTGGTGTTGCTGGGACCTTTGCCATTGGCTTGAGCGACATGCATGGTTCCCTTCTCCTCTAAGACAGTTAATATCTTTTCAGTGAGAACATAATCTTTCAAGAATAGTTGTTATTCGTCTTCTTACTGCAAAGTAGCACGTTTTGCTGAGATGTAGAGGTTGGTTTTTCAGTTATTAAAAAGTAAAGGCACAGAGTTTCTGTTCAGCTAAACACCAGCTTGCAGGCTACTACTGCATGCAGCTTGGCAAAGCTGTTCATCAAAGGCAGCCCGATGTCTGCAGAAGGGCTTCTGCTGTATGCCAGGGTTTGGTAGAGTCTTGGAGTCTTCATCAAGGGCACTAAACAATGATCCTGCCTGCCTGGGCCTCTCAGGAAAATTCAGCATTAGCATTTGTGTTAGTAGCTGAAATGTGTTTGAATAGAAGTGTTCTGCTCAAGGTATGGTGCTTTGCAATTCCATAGGAGACAAGGTGTGGATTTCATAGAGCCCGCCCAATTCTTCAGACTGTAGCACACATTAATATTATGAAAAAAAGTATCATCATAAATGCATTGTCATGGGGATATCTAAGTTCAGTATTAGCACAGTGTTTTTCTGTCTAGACTGAAAAGACTTTGGTTTGGTTTTGTTGTTTGTTTTTTTTTGTTTTATGTTTCTCTGAGCATTGTCAAGAGTGCTAGCATTAACTAGGAGCTCAGGAAAAAAGACCTAGATCCAAGTGGTCGGTGCTAGCGTACAAGTAAGCACTTGCTGATGTCCTCCCTAGGATTCCTTTTGTTACTTCTGCAAAGGATTTGCTGTATGACTGTATGAATGTGAGTTTTTCTTAAGGTCTGTTCTGGATATGGGCCAGATGTTTTGCTGTATGCCCCATGCATGTGTGTCTTGAACTCTTGCTTACATAATAAATAAAAAGTGTGTGTGAGAAAAAAGAGTCATTGTTGTAACTCAGGGTTTTTTTCTGGATTCTGAATGTGTGATCAAATTATGAAAATTTCTTCCATACTTCCAAGTCAGCAGGCACAGACTATGGCAACATCAGAGTGCAGGGGAGATAAGGCTTTTACTTCTGCCTTTAAGAAGAACAAGACACAAACATATCCTTGAACTTCGAAGTGGGAAACTGAGAGACCTATTTAATATTTTCTAGTAACTGTTGCCCACAGGATAGTTGGGTGGTGTCAGGGGCTCCATTATTTCTAGCAGAGGTGTTGCAGCTTTGCAGAAGAGAGTCCCTGGGAATCGGTGAAGGATAGACATACAAGTTAAGGGTTTTGTCTCAGAATGTCAAAGGAATACAGAGTTCTGCCAGGTCAGATTTTGATTTTCTCTGAAGTTTGAAGCTGGAGCTTTGGAAAAGGGGAAATATTACTGCTTACCACAAGGGAATAGCAAAGGGATAGTGCAGAACTTATTCTTCCTCCCTAAAGCTGGGACCCAAAGATGTGTCTGTGGGAAGGAGAGCCCAGGGTGCTCACCTGCTATGCCATGCACATCAGCAGGCTTTCCCCTCAATCATCGTGCTGCTTCTCCTCAGCTTCATGGGCAGGGAACATCATGCCTGGGGCACATGTCCCAGCATGGGGAGGACTAAGAGCTTCCTGGCCAGAGGCTCTGGTTTCTAGAAAATGAAACAAACCAAAAGGAAGCAATTCCCTGTCCCTTCTCAGTTAGCCACCAGCAGAAACTTGGAAGAGTTTTACATCAGGGGGCATTGGCAAAGCAGTCCTCAGAAAGCCCATCAGAGTAGTGCCAAGTGTTACCACAGGTGCAACAGTGTGCATTTTTGCACAGCTCCATGAGCAAATTACATTCATACGACTTGTGAAAACATCCAGACACCCCCACTCACGGGAGCCTGGCCCCTCTCCAGCCAGGTCACTGCCAGAGCATGACACTTGTTACCTGCTCCTTCCTAAGGGGCAAGGTAAAAAAAAATCCCATCACTGGGGCATGGTGTCACTGTCTGAAGGCACCTGACTCACCCCCAAGCACCTGATACAAAAAAAAAAACCACAAAAAACCCCAAACCAAACCCACCTGCTGAAGCAAACTGTCAGAGTTGCCGACACCGTAGCACTTTCCATTAACCACGGCCTGTGGGCACTGGCCAGAGCAACAAGTGCAGCCCTGGTTCATGTTTGCACTCTGCTCGCCCAGGCGAAAACCAGCCCAGTGCCCTCAGCCAGCTCACGCTCTCACACCTGAGACTGGATGCACAAGTGGTATTTCCTAAACAAGTTGCTAGACAACAGACAACACCTTCCTCCTCCCCACCGTGGGATGTTTTTTTAAGTAATCTGAAAAACAGTGTCTCATATGCTGCTCATTATGTTTAGCACTTGCTGCTGGAATGGACTAATTTTAGCATTTTCTTCCCATCAACAAAAGATGGTGTGAGGCAGTGACATGCATCTGCAGAAATGCAAGAAGGCTGGACAGGAAGGGCTGGGGATATGATGTGTTGTCTTTCAGGCTGGCAGGATTTTCCATGAAGTAGGTGACTGTCTGATGGCGGGACTGTCAGTGAGCAATAGTCCAAAAGCTGTTACAGCTGTAAACAAGGGTCTTTACTCAAGTGCGTCACTCTATTGTCTGGGTGATGGTGTAAGAAATCGGCCACGCCAAGGGCTGCCCTCCCTTCTCATGCATGGTTCCTTTACAATGCAAGTATCACCAGTCTGCAAGCCATCTGAAAGCGTGGAGGCAGGTGTCACCCCTTTAGCAACAGGAGATAATCCCATGAAATGCAGTGACCTTGAATAAAACTGTTTCAGCCATTTCATCTAACAGGAGCTTTGGCATCATTCCCCCCTCTGCTGGAAAGGATGACAGGAGCACATTTGGCTCCTCCAGTTGCCCCATGCTGCTGCCACCACTTGAAAGGCCAAGGCACCTTCCTGTGGGGACAATCCAGCTGCAAACCTCAAAAGAAACCAGATATCTTCAACAACACTAAGACCAGTGAAGACGCCTTGGAGCTGCCATCAGCATGCTGGCACTCCTGTGTTACCACTGTGACACTTCTTTAGCACGCACCCAGGGGTCTCAGAGCACAGGATGGCCCAGGATGGCACCCATTACTAGGCTTTTGGGCCTTTGGGATTTTGCCTGTGTTATAAGGGTCTGCCCAGGTCAAGGTACCATGTTTGCACCTCCTCCCTCAGGTCTGGGACCTGAGCAGGGTTCACAGCCACCTTTGCCACCTGCTGTGTGGCTGTGGTTAAGGGCAGATTTCTGCTTGTGCCTTCCCCTTTGTGCTCCTGAAAGAAATGTGACCAAGCCATGACAAAGGCAGGAGGCCACATCCAGGTCTCTTTGTCCGAGGATCGGGAATTAGGGAGGTAATTTCTGACTACAGCAGCTGGGCTTTCCTCAGTGCCGCTGTGGCATCAGCAGCACACCAAGGAAGTGGCTTTGCTAAGTAGGGAAAAATCCAAGCAACTATAGCTTCAGGTAACTTGTCTGCTCAGCAGGACCGTACCAGACTGATGGGCTCTATGGCAAAGTGTTGTCGTTTGAGCCCAGAGGGCAACTGAATGCATGGAAGCCTTTCACTCACCCCTTCCCCCTAGCACTGGGAAGGAAAAAATGAAAAAAAAACCGTTTAGGAAATAGAGATAAGGACAGGCTTAACCATTAGGGGTAATGGGCAAAAGACAGGCTCATTAGGGGAAGAAAAAGAACATTAATTCAAAACACAACACCACCACCACCACTTAACAGTGTGACAAGCATTACCATATCTTGAAAACATCTCCCCCCACCCTCTCTTCTTCCCTGGCTCAGTTTTGTTCTCAGTATCTCTACCTCCTCCCGCAGTGGCACAGGGGCAGGGGATGGGGGGTGAAGTCAGTCCAACACTTCTTTCTACAAGGTGGGGGGAAGCACTCTTCTGCTTTCTTTCCCCTGGTCCACATGGCGTTGCTCTCATGGGACACAGTCCACCACAAACTTTCTCAGTTTTAAGTCCTCCTCAAGGAATGCATTATTCTTGAGATGCTCTGGCTAGGTAGGGAAAAATCCAAGCACCTACAGCTTCAGGTAACTTCTTTGCTCAGCATGATGGTATCAGACCGATTCAGTTGCATGGCAAGGTGAGGCCAGCACATATGGGACTATCAATGGAAATAAAAAAAGGTTCTGGCTTTAGTATTGGCTAACTTCAAAAATACATTGACTGACAGAAAACATCCTTCTAGTCACAGCTTTACACACCACAGGATGAAAAGGCAACTCCTTGTTTTGTGGAAGGATGTTTATTTGCAACAAATGTTCTTTCTTATGATGATTTAATGAGAGGCGTTTTGTATTTTTAAAAGGAAAAAAAGCTTTATAAATTATTGCAATCATCATTAATTTGTGAAGTCCTTTAGCTGAGTGAAGTACTTTGAGAAACATGACTACATATAAAGAGCTAGATACCGCTGGCAAAGTCCAAAATGGACTTTCGCTAAGGGCTGGTGATGACTGACTGGTTTCATCCATACTCCTTGACAAGGACAGAAGACCCAATCTCCTTTACCAGAAGAAGCAGGGATCAGCCCTAGGTAATGGAACATCACGTGCCTTCCAGGCACTTACTGATACGGTGGTGTTGGACACAGGATGGAGATGCTGTGACAGAAATTACACAACCCAATATTGCGTAAGAAAAAAAAAAAGCACCAAACTTCTGGACCAAAGCTTTCAATATCCCAGCCCAGGGCAAGGGGAGGCCGAGGGGCTGGCAGCATGGAGGCAGCAGGGTGGACATGCCTCCACAGGAATGGCTGGCTCTGGAGCTGAGCCTGCATGGCTGTGGGCACCAGGAAGTGCAGCTCGGGGCCATGGCCCAAGGAGGTTTTGCTTTGTCTTGTCGTTGCAGTCACACACTGCCCCATGGGCTCACTTCCCTGTGTGTGCCCAGCCACCAGCTCCCAGGAGGGCCACAGGGAACCTTCCGTCCCCAGGGGCTTTCCTTCACACCACCCCTGTGTGGGGACAGAGATAGCGACCATTAGCCTTTGGTCAAATGAGATAGAAGTGGCAGCTTTCACACACTCCAGGAAATACAGATGAAGTTTGGAGCCATGAAGAGCCACACCAGAGACATATGGACCCTATTTGGATATTGTGTTGAGTGATGCTAACATGGAACAGGAGATAACAAAGATATAAAAAATGAGAAATAAACCAGACTTTTCAGCTAGAATGATAAATCTGATTGCAAAGGTGTCTCTACTTACCTCATTTAGATCTGAGCTCTGTATGTTAGCAGTACAGGAAAAAAAAAAGCTGTGCCTGAGACTGCAAACTCCTCCTGCCTTTTGTGCCAAGTTCCCCATTTGCTGATGCCTCAAGGCCTTCAGAAAAAACCCAGTCCCGGAAAGACAACTGAGTTAGGGAAAACTTAAATGCAGTTTTCTGCCACTTTACATCTCTTAGTGGATAAATGAAGTCGCATGTGCTAATCCATTTATGGATTAAGTCCATTGTGTCTTCTCTGTTTTGCATTCCTCTTTACTTAGCCACTGTATGGGGCAATTAAGATTTTAATTAAAAGATGTTCAAGATTGATCTTACAAGAGTCAGGCTGCCTCTGAGGCTTGAGCCCTGTTGAGCATCAGCTCACACCATGTGTTAGAAGAAAGCTGGAGAAGACAGTAGGATGGATACAGGGGAAACAATGAAAGAGGGGAGAGGGTCTGGACTCGCTCAGCACTGTGGACAGCTGGGGAGAGAGGAAAGCAGAGGAGATCTTTGCGGCTAAAAGTGTCTTTGTGCTTTTCCCCATTCAGCCCTGGGGGAGAAACCAGGCTCCAGCCAGGGACAGACATGCTGGAGTGAGCTTGAGGGGGCTGCTGTGTTGCCTGACACCTCCCAGTCCATCCCCTTCCCACACTATTGCTTTTATGCCTTGCACAATCTCCTCTGCGCAATCACACAGGCTCTCATCACAGCTATTTGCAAGGGAGAGGGACATGGGGAGAAGGACTCCCAATGCAAAAAAAAAGGGGTCCCAATGCAGACAGGAGACTCAGATACCACAAAGGTCCTCCTTTTCCCCCCCAGACAAGGAAAAGGGCCCCAGTGCTCGTAGGACAGGCCAGGAGCCAGAAGCACCAGCCTTTCCCGCAGGGTGATTCAGCAAAAATCCATTGTCTTCACATGACTCTTGCTCACTTGCACCCTCGTGGTGCGGCACCTAGAGAAGGAAACTGAAAGCTAAGACAGTGGCTTCTGGGGTACAAGCCCCGGGATGAAGGAAATGCCCTCCACACCACCAACATGGAAAAGGAAATGCCTTCCTACCCTTGCAGAAAAACCCACTTGACCCTCTCAAGCAGCACCATGCACCAGAGGAAATGATGAGGTTTGCAAGGCACAGCAGCAAAAACGCAGGCACGGGCCACAAGTGCACAGAGGAGAGGGCAGGACTGTGCCGTGCTGTGAGCTGTGTGGGAGTTTCCAGCCACGCTGCTGCTACAAGTGCCCAACCCAGCACTCAAACACGGAGCAATGCACACAGGCTTGCAATGTGGATATAAATGCTTAACTGACAAGTTCCTTACTCCAGCTCAGCCTACCCTGCAGTGACTAGACATGTCCATGCGCTGCCAGGCAGCACAGGGTCTTGGGCACCTCCAGCATTCCCCATGTCAGAGGAGCTGAGAGGAGAGCTTCCTCAGCTGCCTCATCTTTCCGGGAGGCAGGTTTGCTTCAAGCTGCTGTGCAGTGGTGAAGCCAGATGTGTCCATAAAAAAGTGGACCACTTGATGCGAACTTCCCCAGTTTGGAGGTTATGGCCTCCACCTCCCACTATGAGCTCCACTGCAGCTCCACTCCATCCACAGAGAGGCTGCCTCCAGCCCAGCCCATTTCACCAAATCACTGGGGTTTTGAAGGTAAGTTTATGCCCAGGGTAGGTGAAAGACAAGAACAAATACCAGGCCAGGACCAGTTGTATATATATATTCCCTACATATACAACCTGTTCCCTTATAGCTCAAAGGCTGGGCAGGAGGTAGTTTATTGGCTGTGTACTCCCGAGACTCTGCTCTTGATGAAAACTCCACATTTCACCTTTGACCTCTGCATTTTTCTTGCACAGGGGCAGGAAAACACGAAGGACAGCTTCCAAGATTACGAAGCAGGTCCTATACACCACCTTCTAACACTTCTCAAATACTTTAACCCTCTTCACACTGAATGGCAGTTTTTAGATGATGGTATTTTACTTCTAGATTAGATGCACATCTGGACGGCATTAACACAAGTCTTTGTGCTCTCCCTGACAACCTTGTCCCTACAATGTCAATTCTAACTGTGGAACAGACAGACTTCAGCATAACAGAAATAAATATTTAGAGGAGTACTAAGGGTACCATTTATTTCCAAAATCACTAAAAAACCCAAACAAAACAGTTTATGGAGATACAGATTTACATAACAGAGACAGCAAATTGAAAAATGTACAATCTATTTCATGTTATTGCACTCACTTTTTTATAATATTCAAGGCATATTAAACAGTTTTCATTAAAAGAAGTTTTATTTATATAAATAAAAGTGTAAATATACAGTATCATACAATAAGTGTATTAGTCTAACACACAAAAAACTACCTAGAGTGGGATCCCCATTTCTCACATGACGTAGTCTACTCTTCATCAATATTTCCACTTGTACATTTACATACTCTAAACGTAGAAGCAGGTAAACACTCCCATCTGGGAACAGTTCCTTCAGATTTTGACAAGAACCACTGCAGAACATTAACAAGGGTTAATTTTAAGTGAGGGTAGTCAGAAAATATGAATCACTCAACAGTTTCTTAATACTTATCTGCCATAATATTATTTTTTTTTTTTTAGCAAGAAAATGATCAGATGTTGTTCCCTCCCTAATTTAGGCCTAATCTCAAGAGTTTTTAATACAGATGCAGTCCCCACAGGAGCTGGAAAGAGCTTCCAGGTACAAAAGGCTGCAGAATACACAATGGCAGTATCGCACCAGAGCCAACTCTCATGTCCAGGACGTGCACCCTGAGCTGCCCCAGACCTGGAAGCAGCAAAGCCCTCCACCAGACCTTCTCCATCTAGGAGCATATATTCACCTTATCTGGAACGCCTTCGGTCCCTGCCGAAGAGTTGTAGACTGAGTCTGTAATTTCATCCTCATTTACTTTACCAGGTGCATAAGCAAAGGTTCACTACATCTGTTTGGTCTAGCCTTCCTCCTGTTTGCAATACAGCAGATCCATGTTGCATAAATCCTGGGGGTGTTATGGGGAATGTCACCCCAACAGAGAAGTTAGGAAATGTTACTGTAATCATATCAACACTGGTATATCAGTAAAGATGTTTCTTGGTCTTTCACCAAAAAAAAAAAAAAAAGTATTTTCAGGAACAGAAACTATCAGGTTAAATACTATTTTTTTTCTTGCTGTAATGTTAGTAGTGTATCATTCTACCCACGGTAACTATCAGACTTAAAAACATTAAACATATCTTTTAAATTATAGCCACTACTGAATCACACACAAAAATCCCCACCTCTCTTTGCTGTTACTCAGCCAACATATATCTACGTGCATGTAAAATAAAATACTGAACAGTATTCGATTACTGAAAAATGAAAGCCTTCTAAATCACTCACAATGAACAGTACCTGCAAATAAGCGTCTGAAAATACTCACCACGTATCATCTTAAGACACCTCAAATTAAGCTTAATTTACAAAAGGAAAACTTAACCTTTGCGCTCACACAGGTTTAGGAGTGAGGGATACATACGCCTCCCTGCATTGGAACCTCCAGAATTTTAAACTGTGGACTGAAAAAAAAAAATGCCATTTCCTACAACACAATTGTGATTTACCACATTAAAGTAGCAAAAAGTCAGTACTGCACTTGTACGTATTATACGTAAACAGGTATGTATTCACTACGCTGCAATAAATTCCACATGCATTTATGTATCTATTATACACGCTATTACAGTCAGATTTTGGTCATTCCTGAACAAGGCCTCACCATTTAATTGTCACTGCCAAATGTCTTTTCCCTGTTTTTCAGCAAACATGCAGGGGTAACCTCTCTTATCCCAGCAAAGGCCTGCAACCTCAGTGTGGTCCTCTGACCCCAAGTGCTGCATCCCCCTGAAGCCTCTCCCACCATGGAGGTGACCAGGGGCAAGGACTGGTCCCAGCAGAGCAGCTGAGTTTTGGGGCCACAGAGGAGCAAACTCCACAGTCATTTCACAGCACTGAAGGTGAATTAGTTTCCACAGAAATCCTGCAGCCAAAGCAGCTGCAGGACTACGTAAAGTATTGCCTTTCCTGTAACCAAAAGCTGCATCTCTCCCTGGATTCACATGCTAATATGTCACTGAAAACAAATTAAATCTATTCGGGTTTTAGGCAAACAAAGCACAGCTTTTCTGCTCACCTGGTCTCAGGTTGCCTTGCAGAACTGAATTCTCCTCTGCACATCACGAGTCGCAGTCTAATAAAGCTGTCACAGAAATGAACCAGTGAGTGCTCCACTAACCTGGAAGCAATAGCTCCAAGCACTGTTGAATAAATGTAAATAAACTGAACTATAGCATGATCTTGGGGTAGGGCCAACTGACAAGCCCAGACCTTTCTGTAACAGCTATGCAGTGTCTCGGCTCACTACAAATGTAGGCAGCACCTCAGATCTGGACCGGTTCCAGGCTGAGATCTCTTCTCCCTAGGCATGTAGGTTGCAAGCAGTCTCCAGCCGAATGCAACAAACAACCTGAGCACTCTGGAACAAACAACTTGTTCTCAGCTGATAAGGACACTGGCCCATTTCCTCCTGTATCTCTTTTATGTTGTTTAGCTATCCCCAGATGTAGGAAGATAAATAACAGAGTCTAAGTGCTTGCACCCATACACTCTCCTCCCAACACAGCAGACTATAAATAACATTCAGCAGCATGGCCCGCTACTGATACCTCCACTGTGAGTAGAGGTGAGAAAATCCAAACTAAGCGCCTGTGGCACTGCAAGCCTTTCAGTTTTGCTGTATCTAACACCATGGTCTCTTCCATCTACAGAGTTTTCAGTTTCACCATCCAGAACTCTCAGCATCAGCCCATTCCTGACACAGCCAGGCACACTTCTATCTTCCACACACATCCTCACCCACTCTCACACAAGCAAAAATAAATACTGGACAGGAGAAAACAAAAAAGCGCGATTAAAAGCCACCACAAATATGGCCAGTTCAGATTTAATCTGTTATAATCCCCATCCTTAGACCACCATTTTCCAGCTTGAGTGTTTCAAGTCAGGCAGCCTTAAGCCTTTGCAGCCAAATAAATGCGGCCCGGCTTTCAGACGTATTCAGTGATCGCTGAAGTCTGTGGGATCTGCAAGTGCTCAGCACTTGAAATTATCCCCCTTTAAAAAATATATATTTTAAAGGTGCCTAACATTAGAAGCCTAAATTTGAAAATTTAAGCTTCTAATGTTTTGTCCCAATTTATCCCCAATTTTTATCACTCCCATTTTAACCACAACTATCAACTCAGTCTACACCTTGGTGGAGAATCAGCTATTATTTGGACATGATTTTCTTGCTCACAGATTTCTACTGCATTAATGGCAACTGCTTTCAGATACAAGTTGCATCTAAGAGCAGATTCAGTTGTGGTGGATGCTGAGTTAGTTTATCAGTTTTAAGAGGATTTTTCAGCTTTGCAATAAAATGCTCATGTTTTAGGCATAAAAGTTGTGCAAAATTATACTCTGTTGTCATGCATTTTTAGCAAAACTGCACTTAGAAGAATAAAGTGAGATTGTTCCAGACATTCTCTTATTACAACAAAAAAACGGACCAGACCCTAAGTAAGTGTCCTGAAGTCTTATTACAGCTAGGTGATATAGTACAGTCTAAATACCCATCCTTGACAACAGGATGGCAACCAACAAGTTATACTCCCAATGCTCTGCAGATACTAAAAATATCAGGGACAGGCACAGTGTTATTTATCTCAGTCAAAATACTTTGTATCAAACCCAGGAGAGGTCTTGAAGTTCCATTTAAACTGCCACATAATACAAAAATGTCTCTAACTTTTGGCTTTCTTCATCCTCAATAATTAGGTGAGATTTTTATGATGCTCATCACATGCTTGCTCAGTGGTTCTCCAAGGCTCTTAGCACCTCTCTGCAGAGCATTAAGACACTTCTGTGTGGCTTTAGAAACAAAGACAGCTTGTAGACAGTTTAAAATGTTTTGTCTTAGCATGTGTGATTAGATGTGGTGCTTCCATCATATTGAAGTTCTGTGTTTTCTGATTAGTAACTGAACAGGGCCCTCTGGCACAGATTTAATAATGTTCCAGGCATCATAATGCATGAGGCCAAGTAATGATTTTCCACTAACAGCAAGAATTTCATCTCCAGTTTCTATGTTTCCAGACTGCTCTGCAGCACCACCTAGGAGCAAAAGGGGAAAAAAGTCAGTGTGAAGAAAAAAGTAAATCCACAAAAATTTGCTTTCCACTGTGATGAACAGCAAATTGACCATTTTTCCAACATCAGCAATTTCAGTACAAGTCACTTATGTTCAGCTGAGGTCTAGCAATCTACCTCATGCTGCATCTCAGAGAAAATGTTATTTTCACCAAGATAAATCCTTGCTTGTTTTTGAAGAAAGCAGCATGAGTGCATTAAATATGCTGTACGTTATCTCTGTAGCTGTAAGAAAACCTGGTTAATAAAATAAAGGTTGAATGTGGCATGGATATATTTTCTCGAACAAAATTTTAACATGGTAATGAGCAAACAAAGCAGTAGATTGTAAAACTCGGACAACAGGGGTGAACAAATCAGACACGGGTAACAAACTTAGGACAAACACACCAGACACCGAAACAGCTTCTAGAGAGGGGCACACCCTTCACCGCTGATGAATGTATGTTTCCATAATGATAATTTAACCAACATCAGCCATCATGAAGAGGGGGGAAGGACTGTATTTAAGGATATACATTAATGAGTTCAAGAATTAAACATGCTTTTTATCCTCAGAATCAATTTCTAAAGATGGGAAAACCAACACACAGAGAGAAATTGATAAGCAATTCAGGAAACACCAGTTTGACATTTTCCTTTGATGAGAGAATAAACCAACTGAAAAGTAATCCTGTAAAAATGCTGCGCACCTGCAGCCTCATTGAGAGCTTCAGCTTCCTTTAGAAAGTGCCACATTTGTCACTAAACTGAATCTCAGACTAAGACATATTAAAATCACAGCATAGTTGTGGGATGGGTTTCCTTTCTATACACAGTTCACATAAGATTAACTATGGCTGACAAACAAAACATCCAAGAGCAGCAGTTTTTGAATATGAACATCATATATTCTTGGCAAAAGCTAATACCGATATCTAACAAAAAACCCCAACGAAGACAAAAAACTCGTAAAATCAATAATTAGTTTTAATGCAGCATGGTGTTTTGATGAACCACACATTACCTAGACTGTGCTTCTCTCAGAAAAGAGAACTGGGTAAGGCATGAACTTTTCAAACTGTTGTATATGATATTGCTGCTGTTATTTAATGTCTAGAATAGTGGACAGGCCCAGGAAGGAACTGCATCATATTTAGTAAATCAGATTGCTCCACAAACATTTACTAGCATATGCAATCCCTAGCCATTCCCATGAGTGTTTTTTTTAGTGACCACTTTGGCTAGTAAGTGGTAATAAAAAAAGACCACAAAATCCACCCTTGCTTAAAAAAAAAAAAAAAAAAAAATTGAGCCAAAGAATTAAAGTGTCTGTACATGCACAAAAGGAAAACTGGGATGATATCCACTGCATGCTTGTAGTACCTTTAAATATTCTTTTTACAAGCAAGGGTCTGTCTCCAGCAATGGAAGCTTTTCCGCCATCAAGACTGAATCCCAAGCCAGCAGAGGTTTTCAATAATTCAACGCAGATGACATCATTCATATCCAGGTCTGGATCTGTGACAGAATATACATAGCATCTTGTTATGCAGTTAACAGTAAATTGCAAGTTGTGTTTTGTAGAGTTTGTTTTTGCTGCAGTGACAAAGCAGTTCAGAGTTCAGCTCATATTCAGGCTAGAACATGCTGTCACGCAGATTCTCAGAAGTGAATGCATATTACTGCAGCTGTGAAGGAGAGTCAGTACGAAACGCATCTACACACAGAGACATTTTAATTTTGCATGTTCAACAAAAACCCGCCAAGGCATTTTTTGGGCAAAATTAAATCTTAGCAGATTTAGCTAAAAGACTCTAAACTTCAAGAAAATAACTGAAAAACTACAAAAATAGTGAGTGGAGAGCATTTCTTTTTCTTTAATTTGTTCCGAATTGCTTATTCAATGAGCCACATCTTTTTAAATAAGAGTAATGAATGAAACACTATATTAAACAAACATGTTCTATCCTCTTAAGGAAAAATCTGTAATCACTCATTAGTGTGAATAATTGTTTCTGGTCTCATATCTATGGAAATAACCATAATTACCTGGAGGTGCATCCTGCCTCCTACATAGCAGAAATTTTTAGACCACAATATTGCTGTATCTGACATAAAATATGATTTTGCTTAGAAGGAAATAAATCTATAGTTTTGGAAAACAGGACCCTCTTTGCCCTGTGTGAATGTAAAAATTATGCAGTCTGCATTATCACAAATTACTGCTACCGTTATCTCCAACAACTTTACATGTTATCTAAAACAGCTGAAGATGTGCTTTGCTTTACACGATGGAAATACGTTCTTCATAACCCAATACTACGTGGTTAATATTGCCCCCTAGTGCCTGCACCTTGCAGATATTCTGCATTTGCTATCGTGGACACAGAAAGTTCAGCGTAGAAAGGGATTCTGAGATAATTACATATACTTATAGACATGGGAAAAATTCCAGAAAGGTTGATCCATTAATTTACAGAGTGCTTCCCACTTCTTTTAAGCTGTATTAAAAATCTGTAGTATAAAACCCAGTGAAAGCATAAAACAATAAAAACAGCTACAGAAAAAAAAAAAAAGGCAAACCCAACCATAATGATTATGGCCCACAGGTTAAAAATTACTGAGTGGCAGTTCCATGTCCTCGTTTAGGGGTGGTCTTAGCTGAGTGCCTCGTATTGCCCTGGAAGGCAGGGGAAGCCATACCACCGAATCTCTCAGCAATAAGCTGCAACCACTGCTCACTCCCTCCCAGGGCCACTGCAGCAGGGCAGGACTGAAGCAGGTCATCCACTGCTCCCAAAGCAGCAGCATACAGATGGGTACCAATAGGTGTTGTGTCTTAATGCTAAAAAATATTTGAGATCTGTTTGTAACACGCTAAGTGCAGCCTTCACAATGAAATGCTGTCTTGTTCCCAAACAGGAACTTACTACTCGATAAATTTCCACTTAAACCATTTATCCCTAGTTTCCTATGGGATAGCTGGCTTGGATTTGGCTTAGCTCCATTTACTGTAATATCAAAATATTTTTTTCTATGTTTTTAGTAGAAACAGTATGAAATCTGCTATTACAGAAAGGAAGTTCAATCCCTATGCATAACAAACTGCAGAACTTGGGGTTTTGAGGTTTTTGGGTGTTTTTTTTTCTTTTTTGATATTTACTTTTTTTGCACTGACTACCGTTATTACTTAAGAGGAGTTTATCCTGGATTGGAAGAATATGTGGAATCACTAGCTTTAGTAGAAATTGGATTAGGCCCTAAATGTCCTGCTAAGTTTCTGCCTAGTTATGATATTTAAAAAAACCCAAAACAAACCAAACTGCATTTAGGCTCCAAAGAGAACAAATAAAATTTAAAGGTAATTTCATTTGCTCCCTTCAATCACATAAGGCACAGATACTTTAAATCTGAACCACATGCACATTTTTCCCTTCAGTCTGCTCTGCAAGGAATCCTTCCAACTGTTCTTGGACAAAGATCATACCTGTTCCTATTTCCATGGAAACATCCTTTCCAGACCCCACACATTTTCTGCCAGTAGCTGATATCTCAAGTCTGGAGGAGTTGTTTGCTTTGTCTTTTTCCTTCTGGATGACAATGACCGCATATTCATAGAGTCTTGCCTGATGAAGAGTATTCAGGACATCACCATGGACTGAGCTTGCCAGAGACTTGCCATTGATTGACAGAACATGATCTCCTCTATGGATAGTCCCTTCTTGAGATGCCACTCCCTTTGAAAACACTCTGTGGACCTACAAGAAAGATTTTAACTTAAGGATGCTTTAACCTCATGACCACACATAGTGCTCTACAGGCCAAGGTGAACATGGAGACCCTACCAAAGTTTGTACTCAGTCCTTACTGCCTGGATTTCAAGCATGCAACGTTTGCACCAATGAACACCCTCAAATATTAAGGCCTAAGTGACTGGACAAAAGCTGCAGTTAGGGATGGAGGGAAAAGCAGACAAAAATATGCTATTATCGCATGGTCATTTCTAAGCCAAAGACAACCAAAGCCAGCTAGAGAATGTAACATCACAAATCACTTACGCTTTCTCTGAACTACTCGAAATTCTTCAATTAACATAATTCAAATGACACATAGGTTAAATCCACACCCGTGCTACAGCAAACACCAAGAAAAACATTGCGGTGTGAAACACTCCCCAAATTCCCACTGACTGGGACACACATCCTGTGCTGTTTTCAAATGCACACTTCCAAGTGGTGCACAGCATCTGTGCACAGAAGGGCTCTGACTTCTTGCAGCTGTAAAAGTATTTGGCTGTCCATCTCAATTTGGATGATCAAATATGCAAATAGATGCAAAGGGATGATTTAGTGGCTTGAAATGCATTTTTTTTCTAGAGAAAACAACCCACCTCTATTCAGAGGGGATTAAAGTTTGAGTAAACTCCAGCAAGTGCAGCTGAGACTCAGATGTGCGCCATTTACAGTAAGAACTGACTTAAAAGACTCAAGACCCAGTATTTAAAGATCTGACCGTTACGCACTATAATTTTAGCAGACAGAATACAGTCTGCTGGGCAAAGGTTCAAGGTGGCAATTGACACACTTCTGCATGGCATTTTATCTAGGAATTGATCCAAAAATCCAGACCAAAAGTGAGGATCAGAAGCCATTTGGCTCCTATTCCCCCCCATTGCAGGGCTATGCTGAGATAGGCACCTGTCATTCCTGCCACAACCCTACGGATCCAAGGAGATAAATTTCCAGCTAGTTTAAGCAGGCATTCAAAGCTGGAATAACAGCCTCAATGACAGATGTAGATACCCAAATGGAAGAGATAAGTGGAATACAATGATCATATCCAAAACATCTGCTGCCTCCCCTCACACACTCAGCTCCTCAGTACTGTGAAACTCACTAGGCATTCCTATTTCTGCACCCAAGTGTAGGCAGAACAGCCCATCTAAGCAGCTCAGCACCCAGTGGCAACCCTACATGCAGCTGAGACCCAGAATCCCAGTAGGTCAAGAACATTAAAATGTTCCCCACTTGAGAAGCATGCTTTACACACTGAACAAAGAGGATCTGGAAAAAGCAGGAGCTGATGCTCTTTTGGTCTCATGGCTAACAGCATCCAGGTGAAAGACTTCATCAGCTACTCAGCCTGACAGAGCTCAAGATCATATTTTTACATAGTGTCCCAGTTTCTAGATGAGGTTTTCTGGGGTGATACACTGCTGAGCCTTCCTCTTGCCTCACAGCTGCCACTGCAAGTGTTTGGGCCAGAGACAGGGAACACAACCTTTGTAGCAAGAGAAGTAGAGTCCGTTCCCTGGACTGTGACCATGTTCTAACTCAATAGCTGCTTAATGTAAAATACATTCACTTATATTGGTCTGTCAAAACCCAGAAGATTCCTGCAAGGGCTGCTGCTGCAGGCCCCACAGACGGAGAACATACATTCTTCTAATCTCAGCACTTAATGGATCTCTCTCTCTTTCAGGGCAGAATTTAAATGCATATCTTCTGTAAAGAAACTGTCACACAGGACACCTGTTGTCTTGGAATTTTCTGTCTCACTGATCTGTTTTTGAACAGCACTTAAGTTGCTTGGTATCACTTTTTACACATCAACATCACTTAATGGCACACAGTATCTTTGGTTCAGAATGCTATATAAGATGTTTTAGAAAAAAAACAACCAGTCCTCATTTACTGACCACCCACAAATTTGTGACATGAAATCCAGAATGTTTGATAAGGTCTGAAACAGTCATTCTCATGATTTGCAAAACCTTTCAAAAACTTTGCTGTACAGAGTTTACTTTCAAGGACTGGGAAATGAAAATCTTCCCTAAAAGGTTGCATGCGCTGCAACTGCATGCAGGATTTCATTTATACGCATAGGAATTAGATCTAGCCGATTCCAGCCAGTAACAGACTTTTAAAGACTGAAAACATAATTGGCATCCATCTCTAATAATGAAAATTGCGCTTCCCAGACACTCTGTGATTTCAGTAGCAGATGGTATGCAGCTGCCTCTGAGAGACACTGTTTTATGACTGTAAATGACTTGCAGTGAGTCTTGATAAATGAGCACTTGATCTCATCACTAGCCTGCTTTAAAGTGAACTTTGCAAAAAAATGACTTGCAGCCATCACTTACTGTGACTGATTTCTGTTCCAGATCTATTCCTCCAGCAACACTAAATCCCAGGCCAGCTCCTTCTTCTTTGTGCAAGACTACAAAGTATGTGTCTTCTTTGCTCTAGCAGAAAAATGGAGGTGGAGTTGAAGGGGGAAGAGAAGAAAAAAACAAAACCAAAGATCAAGACCAAGTTCCCGCACAAAATGACAAATTCTCAATACCCTCAAATTACAGCAGGTGAAAAAAGCAACTCAAGGAATTGAAACTGAGACATTAAACGCATTTCTGTTCGACATACAGACGAGCAGCAGCCACAGAGGAGACAGCAAAGTTTTTTTCATGTTAGAAAGCAAAGTCAAAATTAGAATAGTGGAAGTGTATTAAACTGTGGACAGTCTAATTTTCACAGGCTGTAATCAACTTTGCATTGCTTGACATTTTGCAGTCAAAACTCAATGGTTTCCATACACCTTTCTGGACCAAGCACTGTACTTTCCAGGGAATTACTAACACTTTTTTTTTATCCCATTTCTCCTTCCTCTTGAAAGGCAGTTACAAAGATGTAATGCAGGACAGTTGCATCAACCTCTTCTCAGCAATGCTGGACAACCTTGCAAGTGTTAGTGGCTACAAACTGAAGCTTGGGGAGGTTAGATGGAACAGCAGGAAAAAATGTTTCACTTCGGAGATGAAAGTGAGGAGCCTGTTAGTGATCCAAAATGGGTCTAAGCTGTGCTCTTGTGGAAATGGGAGCATCTGGCACAGGAGAGAGACTGGTGCAGGTCTGCACCAGGGCTGAATTTGCCTCCAGACCAGAACAAAGGTGTAAAGCCGATTTCTTTGAAGTGATGGCCTGCTGTCAAAACACAGAATTTGCCAGGAGAGAGATGCAGTCCCATCCAGCAAGTCTGGTGCTGTCTTCTGAATGGTTATTAGGACAAAACCAGATGCTCTTAAAGAAATCACATTTTGTGGTGTAAGGGGGACTATAAGCAAGCATTCAGTAGAGCAAGGGGATAGTAACCATCTGTGGGGCCGAGCATCAGAAGTGGAGAGTAGAAAGCAGGTCTCAGTTTTTCCCTGGGATCCCATCCAACATCAGTCATTTCCAGAAACTGCCAACACTAAAATTAATCATTAGAAACCAACCTCTTAATCTATTTAGCATTAAATGACTTATTAAGTTCACTAAACTGAACATTTTAACTCAGCATTTGCCTTTTAATTTTGTTTCAAAAGGCACAGGGAAACAGATTATTATTTTCTGGTGAATCAACAGTCAAATTCTTGGTCTCACTGTGTGCTTTTTTGCCAAATAGTGGCCCTGGAAGATTTTCTGCATTAGAGGCATCCCTGCAATGCACACAGCCAATGTCAGAAACCCCTGTCACCCTGCTCCACATCACTGATCTATCAGCATTTAGGAGAGAGGAGCAGTCATGGCTGATCACACTAGTCCACAGTCTTGTAGATGTTAAGACCCTTCTCACCTGTACTCAAGTGAGAACAGCTTTATGTTAGGCTAGAAATAATAAAATCAGTTAAGTATCTAGGCTAGCTCCTTTAAAAGTGCAGTGAGGGTAATGTAAACACTTGTATTTGACTGTTAAGTAAGTAGTATAGCAGCCCTTTTTGTTTAAGAGGTCAGGTTATTTCCAAACCTTGCTGCCACAACTTAATTTGCTTACACTGGGGAAGAAAAAACCAAAACAAAACATCAGAGGTTCAGGTATTAAGGGGTTGCGCAAGGACCACATGTCCTGGGTGAGCCAGCAACAGTCTGAATGCTGGCTTCCCACTGCCGAGGTTGTGCATTTCCTCCCTCCCCAGCTCTCAGTGCCGTCCTCCACCCGCACGTGTACTATGGGGCACAGAGAGCTGGCCATGGATGCTTATTGCTTTGCTTGGCCAGACAGTGGCCACACAGGGCCTCCAGTGATCACCTCTGTTTAACCTGTTAGCCAAAGATCACTGGTTGTAGAGGTATAAACAACAAAACACCTGTTTTGGTGTTCTTTTTTATATTAGTAGTACTTATTAAATGCTAACAGTAAATTCAGTACTGTTCAGAGAAAAAGATGATGACAAACTCTTCACAGGGAAGCTCTCAGTCTGAATCAGGCAGTCCATCTAATTTTTCAGCAGTTGTGTAACTACAAAGAACTGTCCTATTGAACGCTTAAATCCAGCATTTGACTAGCATAACATTTTCCAGAGTATGTGCCATACTGGGTTTAAATATGGATAAGAAACTATGCAGAGAAGTGCATTCCAAAAAAGCATTCAGCTTTATAAATATCTGCGTTCTCAGACTTTGAAAAGTGGCATAAATAAATAATTTCTCCAAGACCCCATACGAAATACTTTAAAGAACACTTAATTACCATCAGCCAGAAGTACAATCCAATCCTAATCTTAACAGTAAACCTACCAAACCCTCTTGGCGCACCAAGCTCTTGGGACTTGCAACGTTTAGCTATGCTGTCCCTGAAAGGAAGTAAAGCTGGGTATTTTGGGGAGCTCCAGTTCCTCCCAGCCTGTTCTACGTTTGAAATAGCAACCTTTGTGAAAAAGACTCAGGAATGCTCTAAATGCAGCTCAGCCAGCAGTTATGCAGACCAGATGGCAGTTTCCTCTCCAGTGCTGTCATCATTTTATCAACTTCTGTTCTGATTTAAAAAGGATGTGGATGTATCTCCAAAACACAAACACTGCAAACAGGGAAGTAATATTCTGGCAGTCATTTCACTTCGGAGGCCTTCTTTAAATATCTAGATAATGAAGGAGGTTATCTTAATGCAATAACTAGTTTCTGCAGAAGAGAGCAAAGAGGTCACAGGAGTCTCTCACGAATCCTCCAGCAGCCGCCTTTTTTTTTTTTTTTTAGAGCCACCAGTTCAGCATTAAAAAAAAATAAATTCAATTTCTGTGATCGTAGCTTCTAGCAAAAGTGCTTCCAGGCAGAGAGAGGAACAGAGCTTCCCTTGCATGGTGCAGAAAGTGAGTCTGACCCAGATGGTTGGTGGAAAGTTAAATTCTGATGTTAAATTCTAATATGCAATTATTGGCAAACTCAGGAGTTTCTCAGCTGTGAGTGACTCAAGTGGAGGCACACTTTTCCACTTAAAGTAGATCTATTTATTGGGGCTCCAAACTGCTTTTGCACTGGACAAACAATACCCCTTCTTATACAAAAGCCATCCAAATTTATTATGGGTTTATAGCAGGCATTCAAAAACCATCATTAGTAAAAACTACCATCAACTGTAACCTACCACAGGAGCTCTGAAATAGGAAAAGATCTTATCTGCCATTAACAAAACCAGTAAAAATTCTGCCAATAATCTAGTTTTATCTTCTGGTTTTTTACCTTTACTTGTGCTTTGGCTTCTTGGAGCATAGCAGCTACGTCACATTTTGGTACTACTGCTGACAAAACAGATTGCAGTTTTTGCTGGTCCAAGCTTGAGATGAGCAGCTGATCCAAGCTAAAATGAACAGGAAAGTATAAAAGACGGCTTTATATTTCTAGACTTTGTAGAGATATGGTTCAGGTATACCATGTAGCTTGCATTAAGATAATCGATGAAGGGGCAGCTCATTAACAAGCAGAAATCTTGAAAGCAAGTAAGCAGCAATGTATGCTGGGAGAATGAGAAGCAGCAGAGAAGACAATTTAAGAAAAACTGTGAAAATCAGTCCCTGTTCTGTTCCCCTCCTCCTTCCCCAATGCTTTTAGCAACAGACACTAACAAAAACAAGGAGACAGTTACATCTGAATACTGCTTCTGGCAGGACAACAAGCTCGTTTGTCACTGCATGTTGTGCTGGCAGCCAGCGCTGCACAGCCTCCCCTCTACAGCAGCTGCTGTGTCGTAACATGGACAAAAATTGACCAAAACCAGCTAGAGCGGACACAGAAATGGAGCCCGACTCTGCCAGGATGAAGTGTTTCACCCTGTGCTGAAGCATGGCCGTCACCAGACAGCAGCACGGTGGCTCCAAGCAATCAAAAGCATGAAGAACAGCACCCTGAATAATGAGGGGAATGGGGGCTGGGGCCGAAGCTGAAACGCATTTTGGGGTGGATCTGTGGCAATGGAGAAGCTTTGCTTAGGGAGTGGCTTGTGGGGATAAAAACAGAACAGGGGTAGCAAAGCTGACACCAACCTGATAGACCAGCTGTTCTCTGCGCACTCCCCATCCGGAGAGCTGCCAGGGGGCACATCATCATCTGAGGCAGACCCTGACGTCCCCGAGCCGCTGTCCCGAGGGCTGCCGACACCCGTTCCTACCCCACCTGCCTCGGTGGGGCCGCAGCAGGCTGCAGGGGCTACATCACTCTGGGCAGGCACGCCGAGGGCTCTGTGGGGTGTGATTTCCAGCTCTGTCTTGAAGCAGGCAGGCTGCGGTGGCCCCGAGAAGCCCTCTCCACACAGCTTGTCCAGGTCGGGCATGCTGAGGGCCCTCAGCTCCCGCAGCCTGGAGCGGGACAGCGGCGGCCGCCCCATGCCCCGGCTGCGGCATGCCTGCGAGGCTTGGGGGGGAAAGGCAGCTGTGACTGCCCCAGCACCACCCTCCTTGGTCCTCTGGGGCTTTCCTTCCTCCTTGACACCCTCTACCACACGCGTGGGCTCTGTGCTGGTGGGAGACTTGGCCACAGCGTTGGCTGGGCTCGGGCTGCCGCCGTAGGAGCTCAAGCTGCGGCGCAAGGCCCGCGGAGTTTCGGCGGGGCTGGCTGCAGTGGCCGTTCCACCACATGATCTTCTGGCAATGGGGGACCTCACAGCTGAGTGTATATCGATGGGCTTCACAATGGGCCGGTCAAAATTTGCCAGATTTTCAAATGATTTGATCCTCTGTTTGACGGAGAAGGATGAGGTAGATTCATGTGGCCAGTTCAGCTCATAGTAGTAGTAATTCCTCCTGAAGTTCCTCAGCTTATCGGTGGTGGGGCAGCTAATGTGGCTGGCTGAGGGGGATGTGTCACAAACCCTCTGGACACTTTTGGAGGTATACACATGTTCCTTCCCACTCTGGCCATTTGGCAGATTCAGATGGACCGTCTTTAACACCCCTGTTGTTGCCTGGGGACATTTCTCCTGAGCAGCATGGCCCTGGGGGCCTTGCACAGGATGAACCTCTGCGACACGGCAGTCCTCCCTCAAGTGACCCGATAACTGGGCTGGCATCGAGTAAGTCCTCGTCACAGGCTTTGACAAGCCATAGAGATTTCTGTCTCCGGCAGTATCCACTTTCGAGAAATACTGCATGGTCCCCACCTCCTCAGTCAGCTGAGGCACTTCTGTGTTTGCCTCTTCTGTTTTCTCCAGCAACGGCAGCTGCAAAAATGACGCTGGTGAGGAAGAGGTAGAGGAGGATGAGGAAGAGGATGATGATGATGAAAGCTTCACCTCAATGAAAGTGCGCTGGATCTCCTGCCCTTCCAGCTGCTCCTGCTGAACTGAGGGGGACCTTGATGAAGAGGAGCCTCCAGCAGACGGTCCTATGTTTTGCAGATCTAATTGCCTAAAGTCATCTGCACTATAGATGCTCTTGATTGCATTCAGGCCTGTTCCAGGGTTCTCAGTCTTCCCTTTCACATATTCAACTTTTGGTATCCCCTGAGGAGATGATGTGACTTTGGACTGACTGTCTCTGGCTCTGAAATCATCCACCTTACCACCCTTACCCTGACACAGTGCAGGCTGCATGGAAACTTGCTTTTCTTTTGGCTTTCCCCATGCCTGCTGCAGGTCTGCTAGCTCTCCAAAGTTACATTTCATTTCACCACTTGCTGTTGGGCTGCTGGTACCATTCAGGACAGGTGAAAGTGAATCTTCAGAAATGACCAGAGATGGTTTATTTTCTAGCTCTGACTTGAGAGTCCTTGAGGCTGTGGAAATGCTCTTGCCAGGATCTGGGTTTGTGGGTGAATTACGGGACAAAGGTGTTTTCTTCCCCAAGAGTTTGGGGGACAGCTGTGGAGAAATAGAAGCCCTTTTCTGATCAGCCCCACTGACTTTGGTAGGATTAATGCCAGAAGAATCTAAATTTGCCTTTGCTTTGCTTTTGATGGTGAACCCTTTTAGCTTTGGTCCTGCTTTTGCCTTCTGATTATTTAAAAGGGTGTCCATTATACTTTTTTGTGCCATTCCCTTAGACTCCTGACAAGATTTTTTCTGTGAGGATGGGCTGTGCAGTACTGCAGCAACTTTGCAGTGATTTATGCCTGAACTTTGGACTTTTCCATTTGAAGTCCTTCCTGAAGTCACAGAGTTAATTTTCTCATTTTTCCCTGGCAAGTCATGAGTTGTATTAGCCTTTGGATCTTTAGATCTAGTGGGAAAGGGAGACCTGAGTGATATTGCTCTTGATGACGATGCATTCACATGATTGCTGTCTGTTTTAGACAAGTTGGACAAACTGTTGGTTTCTTTCTTTACTAAGCAATAACTAACAGCATGACTACAATCATCAGCCACTGCTTCAGATTTGGATCTCTGCTCATAACATCCTTCTTTCTCAAGCAAGTTGTTGTCCAAGCCACTGACATTTCTAGCAGAGCAAAAGCTTATCTTTCTGCAGTGCAGAGACCCTTCCTCTCCAATGGATTCACAGCATTTTGTATGTCCGTTACTGCTCCCCAAACCCATCTGTTCTTCTGTACTTAAGGCACCATTGTTACAGAAAGAGTAAACTTCAGGGATACTGACTGAGTTCTTTAGAATGTCTTTTTCTGGCAGGAAAACTGAGGAAGGAGAACACAAAGATGCAGCGGACACATCTGAACACTGTGAGGGACATGGAGTGGGACCACTGTGGTCTTCCAAGCCTAGTTTGTTGATGCTTGTCTCCAGTGACCCACACGTTGCACAGCCCTCAGTTTGCAAAACTTCGTTGCTGTAAGGGTGCAGTGGGGACCGAGAAGATGAGCTTGTTGCAGCTGTGAGATGCTGTTCCTGTGTGGGCTTTTGCAGCTCATCATTCATGCAACAAATCTCAATTTGCTCCTCATCCGACTCCATTACAGTACAGGCTGCAGGTGCACTAGCAGCAGTGCTGGGCCCAAGCAACATCTCATTAGCACTATCAAAGGTTTCTGTGACAGACTCTGCATCCGAGTGAGAATCCTCCGCAGCCCCATACATAGATTTTGGAAACGGGTCACTTCTCTCACCTTCCAGAGAGTTTGCTGCAGGCAACTCATCCTCATTTAAACTGCTAAAATTCCTAGAATAGTTATTTAAAGAGTTTTTATTCACAGTAAAAAGTTTGCCTGTGTTAATGGAATCCAACACAGACAGCCCCAAAACCCCTTGTGCATTAGCTCCACAATTCACAGTTTTTTCCAGCAGCTCCTCCTTGGCTGCTTGTGGCTCAGAACCGGGACAGCCTTCGTCAGTCCCACAGCAGCACATCGTGGTGTACTCATCTCGGAGGGGGCTTTCTGCTCGCGACGGGGTGCGCGAAGCCCTGCTTTCGGGAGCACCCATCTGGCTGAGCAAGTCATCGATATCGGTGACCGGGATGGCAGCGCAGTCCTCGGCACGGCTGCTTTTCACGGTACCCCTCTGCAGGTCTTTGCTCGTGGCATCAGGTGGCAGTGTTGTTCTCTCCACCGCACAGCCGACACCAGCATTTTGCAAACCTGTTCCTTCTTGCTTCCCAGCACTCGCTTCTTCCCCAGTTGCGAGGATGCTGTTGACATTGGCCTGACTGTGACTGTCTACCCCTGGAGACAGGATGAGGTTTGTAAATCTGCTGACAGCTGTATCATGAGAAAAATAAATAAATAAAAAAGCAAAAGCCTGTCAGATATAGGAAGTCATACGCAAAACTCCAGGTTTTATTACAGAAATAGACACCCACATAGTCAGACTACATGTCTTCCTTTTGCTCTGCACTCCTCCTCTTCTGTAATGGTGTTTACAACAACTCAAATTAATCATAACCCTGTGTATCTGAGTAGCACACAGGAGGGAGCAATCCACTTATCCAAGGTAAGTAAGTAGTCATGATCAGTTTAATTCTCATCTTTGAAATTTCAGCAGTCAAGCAGCCAACTACCAAAGTGTCAGTGTGCAGTAAGTCAGGCTGAGCAGTACAGCTTCTCATTACTTGTTTGATTGAAGATGTCTCCAACAGATTGCAGAGTGCACAAAGCCCTGGCACAGCAAACAAAGGTGAACAGATAACACAGTGATGAACTGTGCATAAATAACTTGACTGATCCTCCCAGCACTTCTGCAGGTGTTCAATGTGACACGCATGGGTGATGCTGTACAAGCATTAAGCATATGGGCTTTACAGGATTTCTAGCACAGACCTTTCCTTGCTTCCAATACATTTTTAACCCGCTCCTGGCCAACACACTGAGCTCCCTGTTGCCTTTCTACACTGTTTCTGGGATACCCATCCCCATTCAAGCTGCCTCCCTGGGGCCAGTACTACCAGATGAGACCCAGAAAGTGCCTGGAGAAGGAAGGGTGTATTCAGAGTCAGTACCCTCTCCTGCCCATTCAAACGCACCAGCACATCTCTCCAATCCTTGCATGAACCTGTGGGATTATCTACACCCATGTTAAGAAGTGCAGATTCATCCTGGAGTCCACAAAGGAGAAGACACCTCAGAAGAGCAATTTGAAGCAGTCAGGTTACGATTTGAAGCACTGCCCTGCTTCAGTGTGCTGGATCAAACACTGAAGAGACCCTCTTTTCCAGTGGGGCAGGGTGAGGGGAAGGGTGAAGCAGAGAGTTACTCGATACAAGTGCCAATGTACCCCTACCCCAACGCTATTAGTTTGCAAAAGCCACAGCAATCCAAGGAAACAAGTACAGGACTCTGTCAAGCCAGGAATGTCTTAAAGAACAACTGGAACTGAAGCATCTGGAAGCACTTTAGATTCCCAGGTATTAATAGGTACAAGAAGAAGATCATAAGCTAAAATGAAGCAAAATATTATGTTCTTCCTGAATTTGAGAAGTATGCTTTTCTTTTTCACTCATTTCCACACCACGTAATTTGTACAGTCTGTGGGGATGCATATATTGCTGTAGCAGCATAAATCAGCCCTGAGCAGAAACTAAGGAAGTATCAAATATTTCAATTCAAACCAGAAAGCTTCTTACAAGAAACATGCAAATAAACATTTTGATAAGATTCTAGTTTTCTTGGGTTTTCTATTTCATGTTTCTGCACATTAGAGAATTCTGACACATGAAAGGGAAAGAAAGAAAGGAGGCTTTTATTACCTTTTTCTACATTGATAAAACATTACTTAAACTTCAGATTTAAGAGAGACAGATGTCATTATAAAAGGTCAATATATTTATTGAACAGGCATGGCAGTAAGCCAGGTTGTCTGGACAGGGTAACTGCCAAGTTAGCTCCAGGTCTGCACTCAGACCTCTGCAAATCCTGGCAGGAGAGACATACTGTAAGTATGGGACATACTATAAACTTCACACAGGAGGTTTGCTCCTCTCATTGTGGTGCTAGGGCAGACCCCAAAAACTGGTTTGGTGATGAAATGCTTTGCCTGCCTCACCAATGCAGGAACAATGTACCCCCTGTTTTTTCTCTGAATTGATGTGGGAAGCCAGGGCAGCAGAAGATCAGACCCAGCTGATCCAAGGGAATTTTCTTCACTGGTACTCAGAATAAATGGTACAAAAGCAAAGCTATCTCTCACCTGGTGCTGCTTTCTGGATCTCCAGGGTTACGGATGTGGGAAGACACTGCATAAGTAAGCAGATTTCCTCGTACGTCATCTTACTGACTGGGATACTGTTGATGGTGGTAATCTCATCTCCTACAGCCATCTTGCCCATTGATCCCTGAGGCAATGACAGATTTAAGGAAATTACAAATACACATCAGAAGCCCTCCTACAGGGGTAAAAATTGCAGGGAAGTGTTTAATGGCTTATGAGCAATTCGTTATTTCACATCACTGCAGAGCACAGGTACCACTGCTGTCAGTTTGCCAACATGTAAATAAAAAGCAAACTGCTTTTGCCAGGAGAGGAACTAATGACCAATCTCAAACAGGAAGATCAAAAGAGCTGCTGGTTTCTCTGATAGATCAGTATTGGGATGGAGGACATAGCCCTCTTCATTTAAATGAACTGGGATAGATCAGCCCTACCTTCTTCAGGACTGGAACACTGCCTATCATTTTTGCATTTCATGTATGAATTATACTCCCGGTCATAACTTCCCCCTGGGCCATTGAGACTCTGCTAATTAATTAAACGGGGCAGGGCCTGAGCTCTTAAGGTAAAAGCTTAAGTATGTTTCGAAACACTGCACAGTAAGTCAGAGAAAAATGCAGGTACAGAACCCAAATCCCCAGTTCTCAGAGCCCAATTCAAACTACTACAATACATCTAGATTTGTACAACAGAGTATCCTTCCTCCTCTTTCTGCACTTTTGTGTCTAGGTCAGCAATTCCACATCTGGCACGAAGCAAGTATCCACACTAGTATGTGCACATGTTACTGGTGCTACCATGGCACTTGGCAAACCTGGCCAGTGTCTAAGGTGTCCTGGTAGCTGATTTGTGTAATACAGGAATACGTGCATATAGAGTAATAGAATGTAATAAACGTTTTTACCACCAGTATTTACTTAATTTTTCTTTGCCCTTGATAAAAAGAAAGGAAACAAAAGAATAATATTCCTTCAAAACTGTGACTGGGTCAAGTCCATCTCAGTAGATCTGCCTCTTGACTTTCTTAATTTTGAATCAGTCAGTCTGCACTTCTGGGACAGAAACAGTTCATTTAAGAGCAGTTTCAGAAAAATATGGAATGAGATGTTTTGCCCAACAGAGAGACAAACATCTATCTCCCTTGTACTTACTCTCAACAGATCACTTGCTTAATAATAATAACAACAACCACACCCACCCCCCCACCCCCTTGCAGCTAGAAAAAGAAGTTATACTTTAACTGCATTTATAGATGATTTTTAATACCATGCATCTGACTGCAGCAGAGTACATGTGGCTCTGTTTGCAAGGGAAGCTAAACCTCTCCTCACAAAGCAAAACGCAGGTTTTTCATGTCCTCTAACTACCATAAATAGCAAGGGGGGACACAGCAGATAGCTCTACAATTTATAGGTAATTCTCAGAATCAGTTAATGGCACATCTGGTTCTATTTTCAGTTGATTTCTAAATTATGACTATGACCCAAAGAAGAAAGGGATGCAAATTCACATTTGTATTTTACTTTAAACGACAGAATTTCTTTCACATTTTGCTTAAATTATGTTCTGGACAGCCTGCATCAACTTACAGAGAGTGAAAAGTACTTTGCTGAACAAAGACACAAGCACACGACAATCAGTTTCAAATTAAAGACCAATAAACCCAAGAACCCTTTCCACATCATTCTCAGAAAGAACTGCATCTTATTTTGTAGAAAGTTTTTTTGTTACTGTTTTTGTTTTGTGGGTATTTTAACATTTAAAAATGCTTTTAAGCATTAAATAATGAATTTCTGGAGAAAAATAAGCTGTAGACAAAGACATTACTTAAGAAGAATAGGAAAGGGAGAACAAATTTAATATCCTTTGAATTTGAGATCAGGTGCATGTCAGTAAGGAAATGTAAGACTCTTTCAGTCAATTACCACAGGGAGAAAGACACATATGCAAAATATCTGATATCAAATTGAACATTTGATTGTTTTTACACTGCTATATGTGACATTTTGAAATTATGTATTTGAGATAGCTATGAACACTTTCATTTCAATGTAATCAATCAGATGATCATCAGTCATTTGAAAAAAAATCTTGCAGTGCTGTCAATCTACTTTCATCCAAATCAATCAAATAAAGTCATTTTCACATAATCAGAGCAGCAATTTTCACAAAATACCATGGAAACAGGCATTTATGTGCACTGTTGTAAGACCCTTCCATTCTCCAGAATTTCATAAGACCAGCACGGGCTTGCACTACACTGCCCAGCATTTCTTACCAGCACAGGAATCACCGCAGCACTCTTGAAAAGTTAACCAGTGCTCAGTGACTCTCCCCCCATTAGCCAAATGACCAGACACACTTCTGTTGCTTACTCAGGTTGCCAGAAAGAAGAGAGCCATCATCCAACAAACTGTTTCTGTTCTTCTGACGGAGCAGTTCTTCGTCGCAGGAGCCAGTTACAGCATCAGAAAACGGGAGCTGGCTTGCACTGTCATGCGAGAAGTACTGGGAAAGCTCTGCCTCGGAGCTCACAGATCCCTGCTGAAAAGAAGTGAGCCTGGTGACCAGCTGTCATCGATGCTTAAAGCTCCTGCCTGCATGCAAGCACCACAAACTCCACTCACATTGCCATGTCAATAAAGGAAGTTTAAAGCCCATTTTTAAAATAGGGGACTTGTCTGTATATTGAGAGCCAAAGTGTCAAACTTGGATGGTTGAAATGCTGCACATCAATACATTTTTGGACAGTATAATAAATAAAAAAAAGATTCCAAATCCCACTCCTTTGCAGATGTGGTTCAAGGCAGAAACAAGGGATGAAACAATCTACTTTGTGTAATTCCATTTATACACCTTCTGCGCTGAGAGAAGGGAAGGGTTTATACCTCTGGACAGAGCTGGTATGGCTTCTTTGGCTTTCCCAGGAAATCTAGAGACTTCTCCACTGCCATGACTATACAGGGAGACCAAGCACTCAGCCTTCTGCCCACAGGCTCAGGACTCTCCAAAGCTGTCCCTGCCTCCCACAGAGCAGGGATGCCTTCGAAGGGGCAGGAGGTAGGAGCCCACAGATTCCTCCACCATGCTCTGCACATCACTCCCAAAGGCTACAGCCACACAGATGAACAGGAGCTTGCTGCTGTCATGACTTAAATGTGTGATGTAACAAACAAACTCTTTTATGGAGCCAATATGACAGGGAAGGAGCATAGGGGTTTGGTTTTGAACTCCTTGATCACGTAAGAATTCAGTAAAAGCTGAATTTGAAGCAGATGCTGTTTTTACTGTATCTAATCATTTTACCCGGCTTGCTGGCTCCAAGAAGCGTTTCATAGTCCAGCTGAGGGAAGATGAGGTTTCTCCTTGTTTGGCCTTCACACTAGGAGATGGACTTTTTTGTACAGCTCCTGTTAAATACAGCTTAGTTAGATGTCAAAAATTCAAGTTGTGGTCCATATATCCAAAGAAGCTCCTCATTCACCTTTTGAGCTGGAGGCTGCATTTAATCCCATTTATTATCTGAACTGCTTTCCTAAAGTGAGATTTAATTAACATTTCACAAACTTTCCCTCTGATCAGGCAAAACATTATTAGAGATACATTATGCCAGCCAAGCCCAGGACAGAGCTATGAAAAAGAGATGAGCAGGAGATGGTCTTCGTCACCCACTGGAGCATGCTGCTGACTAGGTGCATCACTGAAAGATAAAGTAGCAGCCACTGGCAAGGTCTATTTCAAAAAGGGTCTTAGCTGACACAGATATAAAGATGATAATTACAAGTTTGACACTTCTGTCTGAAAATCACCTTACTAGTCACTCTGCCACTGCCAAGAGTTTGCCTTCATCTGCAACATTTTAGGAATTGCTAAATCTGGAGTTCAAAAACATCAGACAAATGCCAGAGCACACATTTTGACATGATCCCAAAGATTAAAATGGAGTCTAAACATATGATCCAGTATGCAATATCTAGACTTTTTCAAATGGATACTACAATACTTTATCTTCCCCCCCACTTCCCCATCTACATGGATAAGTGTACACAGATGAGGTCAGTTCCTCCTGCCCTTTCCCTACTGGGACACTGTGCTTCCCATTCATCTTGAAGACAGGATATAGCAACCACCTCTTGGCAACCCTACTTTCAAATCATGGCAGCCCAGCAAAACAAAGTAAGTAACACGAGCTATGGAGGTGATCCATCTGAACTGGATGTTTTTGATAAAATTTCTGCAGTGGACAGAGTGATTACACTCCCTACTGTTCTGCTGTTTTGAGGGCACTCAAAATATTGATGTTGGGGAACCCAAGAGCATGTCATTAAACATTCCTGCATCTTGAATAGGACACTTATTAGGAAAGAACATGCTGCTACCTGTGATGTGAGACGAGCTGGCATCCTTGCTCTCTCGGTGGGTAGTACGTGCAATTGCTTCATCCATCTCCTGCTCAGAAACCTGAAGTGGAAGACAAAAATCAAACTGGGTAGATGAAATGAAGATGAAAGTCTGTCCACTTATCAGTACAAATACATAATTCATTTCAGATATGCTACTATTTTTAAAGATGCAGTAAAGAAGACCTAGTTGAGAGCTCCTACGTCCCGGTCCCCTTACTCAGACTCCCTCCAGAACACTCTCCTGCAGAAACTGGGAGGCAGAAGCCTGCCGACTTCATGAAGACCATGTCCAAGTGCCACATTATGCAAACAAATAAAACAGCACTAGACTTAAAAAAAAATCAAATGAAGCCATTACAGCACAATTTAAACTCAATTAAATGCTCTACATTGATTTATTGAGAAAATATTACTTTAAAATAGACAAAGACTGCTTTGTACAAGCACACATCAGCAACAGAAGATATTCTACGCTTAACCTACCGGAAGAATACCAGACTTCCTGAGATATTAACTGTCTTTTTAATTTTCATTTCTCCTTGCTTTTAAAGAGAAAACCTAAATCTGTAATTGGTAATTAATGTTTCTCTGGTTTAAGAATAAATACTGGTTTACCATATTTGCTAATTTTGTCCTGAATTACTGCCTTGCACTTAATTCTGATTACTGGAAAACTCCATATAGTTTTATAACAGGAACAACTAGTCTGCAGAAATATATATTTAAAAACAGAAAGCAAGTTAATTCTGTCAAAAATAATTTCTATGCACATTGTTTTACATGAATTAAAATTCAGCATAAATAGAGACTAGAAACTTGAATCTTTCTGAACCATGAAGATTTGAAAGATTCCTAAGCAAACTCAGCAGTTTAAACATAGTTTAAATGCCACATTCACTCAGAATAACAAGAAGAAAGAAAATTTTGTGGTATTTCTCTTGGAAGTACATGAAAACACCAAAGTGAACATATTCAGCAACAAAATGTACTGTGGACCTTTCGTGTCATAAAACAAGGATTAAGTATAAAAGTGTCCAAAACAACATAAGCCTTTGTAGAAATACATCTCTGTTTTCAGTCTGTGGCATGACCTAACAGCAAACCAAAAGCCTCCAGGCTCCTGGGGCACATGGAATTCCTAAGGACATGGACCAAGCCCTGAGAAAATGCTCCAAGACATTTACACTAACCTTTGGGTACAAGATGTCCCAAGAGTAAATCTAGGTGCTGTGCAGACTGCAGTATTTGTTTAAAGCTAACCAAAAATCCACACTTCTGCAAGCTCTGCCAATTCTGATTTTTAGCATCCTCTACTCCTCCAGCAGACCAAACTGGAGAGAGACAAGCTAATTCCTAACTACAGTCTGCAGACTGATGTGTTATTAAGAGCAAATAAAATAAAATAAAATAAAATACCCCTCCCCCCTTCTGTAGATCTCCCAGTCCTGTCAGAAAAAGGGTGACAGTGACATAACAATAAATATGGGGCCCCATATGGGCACTCCTTCATGGATCCAGCTATGAGGGATTGTAGACTCAGTACTGCCTGGAGGAGAAAATGCTTTAGGGTCTCTCCAGCTCAACTTTCAGTTTTTCTTAGCATTTCTTGGCAAAGGATTTGTTGTCATTTTAAATATCACTTATGGAAAACTGTAATAGAAGCCACTTGATAGTTTCCCTCTGTTACCGAGTAATAGCAAGCAATTAGCTTAACTCAGTTCATCTTCTCAGCGATACCTGGTTAGGTCACTCATCAGCTTTCAAGACACCACCACAGCAAGATGAAGGATGGAGGAAAGAGGGCAGGCTCCACTCCATGTAGCTTTTATTTCATGCTACTTAAAGACTCTCCAAAAAGTCTATAAGCCTTAATAACACAATCAAATTGAACCATTGCGTGGGCTCAGCCCAGCATACAGACTCCCTAGAAATACTGTTATCTTAGGCTATAAGCCCAATTGCTACTCCCTTCCATGCTTACCTTTAACTAACAGAATCACAACCTCTTTCTTATAAGAAGCACAAGGCCTTGCAGCCATGATAATAAACTCTGGGCAGCAGACCCCAATTTGTCTATTGTTTGAATATTTGATTTAGCAGAAAATACGCAATTAATTATAAAATGAGAAACCTGAGTTCTCCTAGATATGGATTTATTAAGGTCTCCACTTGTAGTTACAAGTTCAAAATCAGAGCTCTTTGGACCCACTAAGGCAAATATTTTTACAGCTTCATTCCTGTTTAAACAGGAAGGTTTTGAACGCTCATGAAATTCTTTGAAATATTGAAATAAAAGAAGTTGTTATTCCCTATAGCTTGGCTAAAAGGCTTTTATCTTCTATCATCAATTTTTAAAAATTGCTTGAAAATACTCACTTTATAAACACAGCCTTATTTCCAAATTGCCCTTGCACAGATTTCACAGTAGCAGTACATTCCAGATTCTCACATTTTAGTTCCTGAAGGAAAACTTTGATCTTTGGACAGATTTTACTTATTAAAAAAAACAGGATTCCTACTCCTTTATTAGAGTTGATCAGTTCATTCTGTTGATATTTATATTCCTGGCCCTAAATCACATTCTACACAAAGACAAACTGCGAAATAACTTTTAGGAGGAAGAGGACTTGTGCCATAGTTGTGTTGCCGCTTGGTTCAAGTACCGAGAAAAATGGGAACACTTCACTCTAGTAGTTCCAGGAAAAATGCATTTGACCAGTGGGTGACTAAGTGAAAAGCAGCAGGGACAGTCCAGCATTGCTACAACTTACAAAACTGGAAGGCACCACTAAAATCCTGACTCCTTGCACAACCACATGCCATGGAGAGAAAAATTCAATATTCTTCATTTGCTGCTTTCCTGACAACAAGACTCAAATTACAGTGCCAGATGAAAACAATGCAGATGCACTAACACATTTTCTCCTCACCTTTGGATTAGGATGCCGACTAATGATTAGGCTGACTGGACCTGGACCACATTCACTCAGGATGGCGTAGGCTTCACTTAATGCCGCATGACGCAGACTCACCGAATCTGCCTCCAAGATCTGGTCACCTCGACTGCAGAGAGACATAAAGCCAGCTAATCACAACCACCTTTTACAAAAACATTTGTGCTTTCAACTGACGGCCAAGCTTTTTTCAAAGATACAAGTGTCTGGAAAAGGTCTGGCTTGAAAAGAAGCCAGTCTTGCTCTTGCTCCCAGTGACGTGAATACTTTTAAGTCCTGCTGACTTCAGGAGGGAGGTCCAGAGATCCCTTCTGCACTTACTGTCAGTGCTACAAACCCTATTAAATCAAGAGAGAAAATTGGCTGCATTTGGACCAGGGTGAAAGCAGACTTCAATTCCATCTCTGCATTCAGATACTTAACACAAACACTGATAAGAAATTAATGATTTAGATATGAGTTTATGAAATGACTCCAGGAAAAAAATTAAGCGCAATAAGCCTCTATTTGCTTCGAATTAACATACAGAACCCATTAAAAACAAAACAAAACCAAAAAAGCCAAGCCAAAACAACCCTCTTCTGAAAGGAAAGCACAGACTGTTTAGTTTTGTTTTCCCAATTTCTTAGCTCTTGGTCATGGTGCTCAGACATCTGGAACTATTCAAAAGAAAAGATCATCAACTAGGGATATCATTAAAGCATTCTCCATAATTACTAAAGCATTTGCTTTAAATAGACACTCTCAAATAATCTACTACTGCTGATTTATGTTGGGCTACTTATGACAATGGAAATGAATTTGCACTGTGAATCCACACACCAAAGGCAAATTGGCAATTGCACGTGGCAGCCTTCAGTAACCTGTACTTCTGGTATAGGCTCAGGAAAGCAAAGCATTGACTAACGGCTGTATAATCATGCTGCTGCTCTGCCCAGCTTTTAGATTTACACAGTTATTAGAAACTACACAAGTGGAGTCACTTACACAGGCGCATGATTGAGAGGGAGAGCTCAGATATGGAGGAGCCGGATTCAAAACTCTCCTGGTATTGCAAAGCCAGTATTTGATTAATGAAGTTTTCCAAAAATCAAAACCATCCTGTAAGTTTTGGCTTATGGAGCCATAAACCACTGATGGGACAACAGAAGCAATGTCTCAAAGAAGCAAGTTAGAAATCTGGGAAGCATGCCTGGATATAATCAATCACTTAAACCTAATAAATGATACAGCTGTTACACACAGACGCAACCAGCACAGCAATCTTTTCCAAAGAGGCTTACAAGAAAGCAAGTTAGCATTAAATACTGTCTCCTATAGACATTTCTGTTTGGTAGGAATTTCCAAGGGTTTTGGCAGGGACTTCACCATCAAATTATCTTCTTCCCTTATTGCAAAAAATCAAGTTGCTCTATCACAATTTTCCTAGTGAGCAAGGAAACAGAAGGCACTCTCCACCCATGTGAAAGCAAGGTATGTGCTCAGCCTCTCTGCACCAGTGCTCATGCCACATGTTCAACGCAGACCATGCACTCCCAGAGAGTCTTCAGTGCAGCCTCCCCTCCCCAGTGATGCTTCCAGTGCCCGCCAGCATTTTATGCAGGAACGCAGAAAGGTGGAGTATTTCCCCCAATGATTTTTAAAAATGAAGCCTCCAGGAAAGGAACAGCAAATAACTTTCTGTCACTTAATCCAACGTAAAGCACAAGGGAACCCTAAGAATGACTGCTTATCTCTCTTATGGTTCCTTAAAGACACTCAAATTCCATGACAGAGTAAATGAGATGGGCAGGACAGCCTGCAGCAATACTGACAGACAGACAGTTAAGGGCAGAAAAGTGCTGCTGCAGCCACAGGCACAGCCAGCTGCAAGAACATCTCCCCCAGCTCTTTTTAAGAGTTTCAGGTGACTGAGCTTTTAGCAGAGCCCTGCAGATTTCCTCCCAATCTGGGGTCTCTGGCTGCAGCTCTGATAAAAAGACATGAGACTGCACTTCTTGCTGATTCTCTTTCTCAAAGGGTGCTATTAGACTCAGCTTTCCATATAGAGAATTAAAGACAAAAAAACCCAAACAACCCAAACCTTAATGATCGTGCTGCTTCCAGCACACAGAATAATGTTTCCTGGGCATATAATACCATTTTGGAATGTCTTTATTGAAATGTTTTCATTTTGGTGAAGTCTTAAGTATAAATCGCCTCCCTGCTACATCAACCAATTGGTGAAAACAAAGTTGCAATCGATTTTATTGTAAAACCACTCTTGAATGTTTCTGTTTTAACTAACCTTAATCTGCCATCCATTTTAGCCACTGATCCTGGGGCCAGGCTGTGAATGTATATCCCCGGAGAACTGTTTTCCAGCGTGAGACAACAGGCACCAATGCCGAGCCCAACCCCTGGCTCTGTGACAAACAAAAAGTACAAAGAAAAGTAGCAGATTGTAATCACACAGGACACACAAGTGTTTGTGTTCCCACATCCCATCTGAGAACAAGACTCATGTATTGTTTCAGGGCTGGCCTTAGGTGCAGTCAGTCAGGAAGCCAAGACCAACAGTGGAAATCAGGATTGAAAATATCTGATCCTGACTGTTTTCTGAGATCCATCACTCCCTGCAAATTTTCTGTGTGCCGTGGGAACCGCCTGGAAATGTCGCACAAGGTCTGATCTGGTCCAAGGCACAAAGAAGTGGGGGCAGCAATCCAATAAAGATGTCACTTAAAATTATTGCAGAAAACTTGAGCACAGAAGATGCTGCCTACCGCACTGCTCTCTCTTGTTAAGTATCTGCATGGCATTCCTCAGCAAAGATGCACGAAGAAAGGTGAGGGTTATCCCTGGTTCAGTGATTACCTCTTCACCTTTGCTTTCCTTGAGGTAACAGCATTCCTAAAATAGGAATTGCTGGACATCTTACCTTCTCTCTCCAAATTTTTTAACCAACCTTTAAAATCAGCATATTTTAAGCCTTTAAAATAGGCATATTTGTCCCACCACATATAGCATATGCTCTAAGTTTATCTTGTGCAATTACTGATAATGAGAGCAAACCTCAAGCAGCAGTGCAAACAGCTCATCTGGGCAATTCTGAGCACTCTGTGTGGCCTTGCCTTTCCCAGGGCTGCTCTTCACAAAAAGGGCAGAGCCATTTGGACTGCCGAGATGCTGATTCATATTTTGCCCACTATCTCACATCTTCCCCCTTTCAGCAGCATGGGCATTGACTGCTACCCATAAGAGTCTGCTGACTCTGGAATAGGAAAACATGGAAGGGGGAACTCTTCAGTTTTTGCATCAGAGGATGCTTTTCACCCCCATCCCGTGGTTCAAGATCAGATGGACATGGATAGGTGCCCTGGGTATTAGAGTCTCTAGCCTATTCCCCCAAACTCCCCTAAAAAGTACAGATTCATTCTCCAAGCCCATTTTCAATGGACCGTCACCTTTATTGAGCGTCACATCCATAACGATTCTGTCCTTCGGGCCAGGTCCTTTGCGGTTGGAGGATGAACCATCTGCCTCATCGGGGCCAGTGACCTGCATGCCACCACTAGCGCTGGAGCTGGGCGAGCTGGAGCGGCTCAGCAAGGTGGGAGTCACGCAGGGCGTTAGGCTCGGGCTGCGCAGGCGTGTGCGCACCGTCAGGGTCACCACACCTTTCTTGAGTTGCTGGAGAGACATCAGAGAGCCCCAATAAGGTGACACAATACATCAACATTTGTCAGTAAACCTGCATACAGTAATTTGTAGCAGCAAAAGAATGTAAGCCAAGGGTATGAACTGCACTGAAAAAAGAGGAGCATGAATCTCTTCCATGTTACATCTGTGTTACCTTAAACCTCTGAATGGCCTCTTGATGGGTCAGTCCTTGTAGAGACTCTCCATTAACTTCTAGGATTTCATCCCCTGGTAATTAGATAGAAAAAAATTAAGTCAGCAATATACAGACTACAGAGATGTAAAAGACCTTTCCTGTATATAAGGTGACCCACTACTATGAGGATTCCAGTTAACTGCTCAGTAAAAAGCCTTTTACTGTTCTCAGTTTATCTTCACTGGTCCTAATGACTTTACAAGTTAATAGTGATGAATTAGCAGAGTAAAGACTGTTCAGCAGAGATCCTAGGCATTTTCATACTAACACAAGCTGAAAACACTATGGATTTTAATGAAGTCTGAAAATAGATGCTCACAATATGAAGTCCAAAGGGACTATAAAACTCTTTCTTTTTTGATCATCAACAGGAAAAATGAGAATCTAATGAAACACTACATCACATCACTTCAAAGTCTATTCAAAGAAAACTAACCTTGCATCCACATGCAAAAAGTAAATGTGTCCTCTTACTAAATGCTTGCAAATGCAGAACTGTGTAGTCCATACACCACAACAGCAAATGCCTTTCTCACCCCAATGAACAGGTCCTGTCATATTTCTACCTGCTTCCAGGCTCTGGGTCCTACTACTTATACCCAGCTGTGTTGATGTACCATCATTTTATTAAAAGGAGGGTCAGTATGATTCAGATTCACTTTCTGCAATTTTACTTGCATCTGTGCAAAATTAGATGGGATGATGTTGTAAGACAAGTCTACCCCTCCTCTCGTTTCCTAGCCCCAGTTAAAAAAAAACAAACATAACAAACGACTATGCCAGCTCTGAATAGCTTGCAAAGGCTTGCTGGGTTTATAGGACAGCTGCTACTTATTGGCTTCCCATGGAGAGTGCACAACCTATGCTGCAGGGACATGAGCTTCCCTCTGGCAGCAAGAGTGAGAGTTGGCACCAAAAGCAGCCTCAAATACAAGTGTGGTTAGATGTAAAAACGGAATGATGATACGAGAAGGAGAGAAGTAGCACAGGAGCAGCTTGAGAGAAGTAACGCAGGAGCAGCTTTCTGTGGAAGGGAAGTAACACAACCCCTGCAGAAGAGTAGTAAACCTACACTCTAAACTCATGGTCACTTTGTATTTTCAACAGTGCATAAGAGTCTGTCTGGTACAGCACTCGGACCAGGATGCAAACACACACAGAGCAGGCTGTATGTTCAGCTCAGAGATCAATACCAGAAAAGCAGTAATAAAATCAAAATATATCTGCTTCCTTAACCAGCCTAGTGATCTTACTGCCAATCCCATCCTTCATTTTTTCCTTCTCTGGTTATAACTCTTGTTGATTCATGTCAAAATCATACCAAGAGGTTCGAAGAGCACAAGGACCCAAAACAGCCTCTGCCAAGCCCTCTGTATAACCCCTCTTGGACAAGCATCTTTAAATAAGATCTTAGTTGAATAGATATGTTTCACTGCTAACAATGACCCTCTCCAACTGAAGAATTGTAGTTCACTGAAGAGGAAGGGGAAAAAAAAAAACATCATGCTGTAGTTTCCCCTTCTCAATATGCAATATAATCAAGTTAACTGCTAAGAATATCTTCCCCAGGATGGACAAACAGGGTGTGTTACACCCTCCACAGCCTCTTGCTGATGACCAGGTGCCTAAATAAAGATGTGTTTGCATTTTTCTGTGGGACTGAAATAATATCCCACTGTGGTTCTTTATATGCAGTTGGATTTTCTCTACCATACCTTCTTTAAGCCTTCCATCAGCAGCCGCTGCTCCATTTGGGAATATAGTCTTCACAAAAATCCCCATGCGTCCACGAGCAGAATCCTGACCTCCCACAATGCTGAATCCAAGACCCTACAGAAAAGGGAGAAGAAACACAGCTGGCACCTTACTCTATTATCACCTGCGTGAGAGAGACTGCTGATAACATAAAAGAAAAATGAAAGATGAAAACCTAAAAGCTTCTGATGAATTGCACTGCCATCTTACCCTCTGCTTGCATTTCCTCATTTACTTTCACACCAATATCAACACACTTAACAACCCAAAAAGTAGCAGCAGGCACCTTAAGCTGAAATAGCAAAAATGTTATTTTGAGATTACTTTTTTTTTTAAAAAAACACTTGGTCAATGGCTCTATGTTTACTTATTCCCATTTTAAAAACTTTAATACATTGCTTTTAAATTGACAGACACTAGATTCCCACTTCTGAGATCTATATCCAGAATTAACAGTAATTTTCTCTGCTGTGACAGATCTTCCATTTCCTCAGGAAAAAGAAAAGCTTAAGAACATGACATAAGGTCAGTGCTGTAACGTCAGGAATGTAGGTGGAAGGGGGCTGGCATAGGGGGGACTGCCATGCACATGTACATTTTAAATTATTCTGGAGACATGTACCACGCTATATTTTAATAAATCCAGATCAATACATTCCCCATGGCTCTATCTGTTAGCTCTTGCTCCTGTGCTGCCCTGGCTGGCTGAGGGACCATCTTGTAAAGCTGATCAGGGAATGGGTGAGCACAGCAGAACAAACCTCTACTCCTTCTGATGAGTTATTTCCCAGCCAAATCACTTCCTTGATCTGTTCACCCCATATTTCTTCTCTTGTCACTGCTGTACATGTATTTTATAAAATAAAGAAAAAAGTCACTGACCAGGTGGACAAAGGAAGTAGAGAACTGTTGTGCTTCAGTGATCTGAAGCCATGGTTATTATTAGCACCTCAGGCAGTGCTCTCCAGCTGAGGGATGCTGCCAGGGCAGGCACCAACACTGTGTTTACAACCTGATACAACAACCAACTCTTTTGTTTTACTCTGTGAATATATAGCAGACTCGAAGTTATAAGCTTCTAGTAATTTGATAAGACATTACTGATCTCTAGAAAGCAAAAGCATCCTAGCTCCCCTGTGCAACACAAAACAACTCAACTAACTGTTTACTGTGCAATTATCAATTGCAAAGCAACCTACAGAAAGCAGGAGCCTCCTGGCACTCCCCTGCATGGACACAGCAGTTCTCCCCACAGCTCCGTGGTATGGGTTGGGAGAAATACAGCTGCAAAGCACAGCGGTTCCCAGATTAGCCACCCTTCCCAGAGAAGTGCTGCCATGCCATAGCAGAAAAACACCCCTTGAAGATCTACCTACAGATGAAAAACCAAGGGTGAGCACTTGGCCCACAATCACCAACGTGGCAACTCTGTGGAAATATTTTTCAAGTCCCAGATCTACGTAGAGATAATAAAGCAAATGCTACTGCACAAATTGTACGCAGTGCAACCCCTAACAGAGGTGATCACTCAAAAGTTGGGTGGAAGGCACCAAACGGCAGCTGTTTGAGGAGGCTCATGATCACTAGTCTGCATGTTCCCAACTGCTTCCTAATGCCTTGGAGCTAACTGCAGAAAGGCAGGAGAGGGTAGCCTATCCTACAGGGAGAAATAATCTAATTCTTACAAGAAAAATAGGGTCAAAAAAAAGTAAGTACGTGAAAAATGAAGAAATATTTGTTTGGAAATGTCATGAAAGACCTTAAGCTCCCAAAAGAAGGAGATTTATATAGCAACTGTGAGTCAATCTACCCAGAGAAATCACTATTTCTAACTCTGTTAAACTTAAAGCATAACACGGAATTGTTTTGTATTTGAGCTTGAAAGTCAAAACAAGTCTTTTTAGTCCAAAACATATATATCTGATGAGAAAACAATCAGAAAAGGTATGCATATTTTCAGCATATTTAAATGACAGCTCCAATACTAGTGTGGACTGGATTAGGGAAAACAATATACACCTAGGTTAATGATTGTCTATTTTCCCTCAGCATCCAGCCAGTTGTATCTAGTGAATATGCAAACACATTAATGGTGGGAGAAAGGAGGACTCTTTGACCCAGAGAATTCAGTGCTCTCAGATAGGCAATCAACCAGTAACCTATCTTTGGGTTTAATGCTTAATTTGCAGTGATTTTTTAAATGTATACAGATTCCACAGAGATAAAATATGCTTGTCCATAAATACACATGCAAACAGGTACTCTTCTGTAGCTGCACCAACTTTGCATAAGCATACATATTTAGGGATCTGTTATTAATATTTGATATCTCAGTAATGACCAGAGGTACCAAATCAGAATGAAAGCCATCCCACATCAAGTACATGACACGAACATTGCTTCCCCTGTATTTTGCAGGTGTAACTTTGGCATTTACATTTGAAAATGGGATTTATCATTACCGTTATTACTATTATTACTGGCTACTTTGAGAGCTGCTGGAAGCCCTGGGTATGTGAGACAGCTCTTAAATGCCAGCTCTTACTACATGTGAGAAACCAGCCGCATGCAGAAATCCTCACCTTGCCTTGCCCTTTCATCAGGACAATGTTGGAAATGATGGACGGCTGGGTCAGTCTCCATGGAGATTCCACTTGGGCAGCACTGAATGAACGTGTGGATTTCTTCACGATATGGTAGTCCTAACAAATATCAGAAAACAAGAGAAGTTGCTCTGATTGCTTGGCACAGGCACTGGGATGTCATACCAAGAAAACTGTGTGTGTTGGGAAAGAAGGGAGGGGTATCTTGCAGATATATTCAGAAAAATGTTCAAGGGATGAAATCCTAGCTCATTAAAGTTAAAGTGAATCTTGCCACAGTAATTTTCCCGCATTTCACACAGTAGGATCATTTTGTAATGTACCAGCCACAATTTAAATTAAAAAGATTAAGGGTAGCCTCATGATATACTGAAGTCCTTATCTGCTTTGGAAAAAAAAAAAAAAAAAAAAAAGGGGGAAAAAAAAAAAAAGCCTACATCACCAAATCATTAAAATAAAGAGACTCAGGATTTCTTTGTTTAAGTTCTCACATCTCCAGAAATTCAACTTGTAAAATCAGCCTTTGGACCTTCTTGCCACAGTAAGAAGTACCCCCTTCCACCATTCTCAGAGGGAAGAAGTTCTCTGTAGGTGGCCAGCGCATTGCATTTTGGTGTCCAGGCCTGGTTTCAGTTCCTGTGATGTACCTACGTGGCCTTGCTTTACTACCCTCACTTCTATGAGCTCCAGACAGATCAAGCACACAAGGCGCTCAGAGCAGCCCTGCCTTTCCACCCACCTGCCTGGCTCCTGCTGACTCCAGCTGCTGGGGCAGAGAGTGCTTTCTTCCACCCCGGGAATATTTCACTGCTATTTCATAATTCGATTCCCCATTTTCCACCATCAGCTCATCGTCTTCTCCCACAGACTCCAAGCGGGATCCGGCACCTAAGGGAAAAACCACAGAAACACATCCTGCAAATATCTCAGAGCTGCTTTATCCTCTTGCCAGCCTGCCATAATCACCTCCTGCAAATCCCAGCTTAAACAGTGCCTTAAAACAAAACTATGGAGCTCCCAAATGGGCAGTTAGAAGCTAGTTTTGATCATCCTTAACTAAAAACTTCTCCTGCTGTCACAGGTTTTCTATGATCTTTCAGTGATGCTGAACTCCTCAGCGCTGTCGCTCACGGTAGTAAGGAAAAGCAGAAGATAATTGAGCCAGTAGCTCAGGGACAGAAAAGAAATTCAGCTGCTCTCACCGAAGGCACTTGCCAGTACACTAAGCTCTCAAGCTTCATTTATTTAAAATTAAAAGACTCGACACTGTAGCAGTATTCATTTCTGGAGGTGTCATGTCACTTTGAGGGAAATTTTTCTGGAATGGAAAAAGGAAAAATGTGCCAAATAGATGCTATTTTCTTTCCTTCTGGCAATGATCCTAGTTGTTTTAAAGAGGAGAAGAGTGTAGAGTTCACATAAGAAACAGAATTATTTGTCTTGAAGGACATCCTGAAATTAGCTGCAGAGTACCCCACTCCTTGAACTAGGGCTCCTCCCATCCTTATTTTCTCCGAGGTCCCCACAGGACCTGCAGTCACAGCAGTTCCTGCACATTTATCCTTGACATTTCCCTGCCATGCAGGGAAGGGCCATTAGCCCCTATTCTACAGATGAAAACTTAAGACACAGACAGGCCAAATTCAGGGAAGCTGGATTTCACGATTTGGTTTCAAGATTACTTTAAAGCAACGTTAAGGTGGAGCTGACACAGAAAGGGGTAGCTCTGCTTTCCCTTCATCTTCACTGCCCTGCCCTTGCTCTGGGGATGGGGCTCACAAGCCATGGGCTGAGGGAGACCCACTGCAGATTTGCCCAGGAGAGCCCCAAACCCATTTTTCTGCTACCCCCTCCTCACCCACAGGCTGTGCAAGCATTGCTGCCAGTACCAGGGAGGGATGGAGCACAGAGCTGGGGCAGCTGCTAGTTTTCACTCTGTATTAAAGCAATTCTGATGCTGCATCCACAGGCAGAATTTGTAGCTACTACCCAGAGTGCAGTTTAAACCTTCTCCTTGCTTTGGGATGTGAAACTACCTCTGCTTTTAAAGCCCTCATTCCCCAGGCACACAGGGCACTGCTGCTCAGCACACAGCCAGGACAGCTATCTTGGCAGGACCCAGCATCCTGGCACTTCTGCTTCCAAATCCTGGCACCTACAACTAACCCTTTTCCTCTCTTTTTCTAGAAGAGTAGTTATATTCCTGTGTTTTCTGCCCACCCCTGAAGGCAGCTGCTCTTCCCATGCTGCAGCCCAGGCTTGGGACCAGGCATGGGGATGCTCCAGGCTCACCCACAGCCCAGGGGCAGCAGCACCCATGGGAGCCGAGGCTGGATCCCCAGTGAGCCACCAACACACAGCTGTGGGGGCTACAGGCAAAGGAACTCCCCGGAGTAGGCTAAAAATATCTCAGTAAATGGAAATGAAGGTGAACACAGGAGGGAGGCAGCCTCAGAAAGTATTAGGGATAAGAATGTGATTGAGCTTTGCAGGTTACTGCTAAGACTTGGGGATAAAGCAACAGAAAATTTGGGGAGTATTCACCAAAATGAATATTCTGGTAATACCATGCTGAAACATGTTTCCCACCTCAGTATCAGAGCACACTGAAATATATAGAATGTAAATGTTTAAAAAAGAGAGAAAGAGAAAGAGAGAAGGGAAAGAAGCTTCCAAAATTTTATTTCATCTTTCTGTCTATACAATAGTTCAAATCAGGAGGCTGAATGCAAACATCTTACATCTGGGATTTTCCTTCCAAATTAAACTAATATGATCTCCAAAGGAAAGAAATCCTATCCCACTCTGAGAGAGCTAAAAAACACACAACATAAAAATTCTACTATTGCTATCTTTTATAAACCTATCTTTACCTTGGGATCGACTTCTGTATTTCAGTATGCCACTTCCCAGAGTTGGACTCTGGTTGCTTCCTTTGGACACTTCTGCACAGGTTGGATCTTGAGACTTCTCAGTTTCCATCACCTCAAAAAAAATTTCAAAAAAAAAAATTATTTACTTGTAAACCGGAGAAATTGATGGAATTCCTCTCATTTTTACTAACGGACAAAAAATTCCACTGCACATCATCTCTTTTTCCAAAACATGTCATTGTATTAAGCCAGTACACATTTCTGTAAGTAATTTTCAGCAATGCCTTTGGGCATTATTGCAGATCTTACTGAGGGATACAGGTACAGCTCAGTAGGGCCAGGGATCCTCTGCAGGGTACCACAGTAAAGTCCTCAGAGCACCTCCAGCATCCACAGCACCTCATTCAAGTGCTTCAGCCCAGATTTTATCAGAATTTAATGTAGAGTCATTGCAGTTTGTTCAGTTTACGAAGCTTCCAGATACATCACATCTTTATACAGAAAAGCACTTTTTAAAAAGTGTTATTGTTAGTGTGTGAAGCCGAACAACAACGCATCATGACTAAAAGCTAATTTAACAGAAAGTTATGAAGATTATACAACTTAGGAGCCTGGAAATGCTCAGCTTAAATTTACACATGGAATTGCAACCATGTCAGCCCAAATAAATGCGGAGTCTGTTTACCCGCTATGTTTGCCTAGATGGAGGTGACAATACAAGGTAACAATGTACAGCAGCATGGCCACATGTGCCCTGTGTCTTGCTCCCACATGGTCGGGGATGAGCAGAGCTGTCCATGTGCAAAGCCCACAAAGACCCTCCTCAACCCACGTGCTGAGGAAGACCCTGGTGACCTTCTTCACTCACTGCTTCCTTGACCCAGCTACAGCAGTCACATTTTCCTAGATGTGCCACTACACAGCGATCCTTGACACACTCCCCATGCACACATTAATTCTTCTACGTTTTCACCCCATCACTCACCACACATCCTCTGCACAATTATTCAGACAGCTCGTGGCAAGGACAAGAAAATTTCTAGTACAATCACTTACTGGTTTCATCATACTTTTAATGTACTATGTAAACTGCGTTAAGTCACCAGCTTCGTTGCCCTTCATTGCTGGTGCAGGGTCTGGAGCACGGGAGGAGCGGCTGACAGAACTGGAGGGGTTTAATCTGGAGAAGAGGAGGCTGAGGGGAGACCTCATCGCCCTCTACAGCTCCCTGAAAGGAGGGTGCAGAGAGCTGGGGATGAGCCTCTTTAACCTAGTAGTAAGTGACAGCACAAGAGGGAATGACCTCAAGTTGCGCCAGGGAAAGTTTATACCTCCTGACATTTAGTCTTTCTTTCCAGAAGGGGTTGTTGGGTGTTGGAATGGGCTGTCCAGGGAGGTGGTGGAGTCCCCATCCCTGGAGGTGTTTAAGAGTCATGTCGACTTAGCACTGAAGGATATGGTGTAGTTGGGAACTGCCAGTGTTAGGTTAATGGTTGGACTAGATGCTCTTCAAGGTCCTTTCCAACCTAGATGATTCTGTGAAGTCAGTTAAAGAAAAAAATCCCACCCAAACGACCAAACATTCTTACTGTTAAAACAATTTCTACTTCCACCATTCAAGATTAAAATTGGCAATCGTCCCCTGAACCTGTCTCCCATCCCCAGTCCCTCTTATCCCCAAACCAAGAATGCCAAGGTTTATCTTTTGCACAGAGCCTAGACTTCGTTATTTCAGTTCAAAGGGTAAAAATTTCAGGAAAACATAAAATGGGCAGAAAACTGGTTTTTATTCCTCCCCCTTCAACATGAACAGCTACAGATAATTTACACATAGTTTGCACATCCTAGCTAGTTCTTGTTGATTTTTCAAGACATTGCAGTAACTACTTCAGAGTCGACTTCTATCATCAAATAGATGCAGCTCACAGCTCCATGTAATCAGATTCATCTGAAGAAACTACATTAGTCTGGAAAAAACAGTGCTTATTATTTAGCCATCCTAATGAGGGACTCATTCCAGAAAAGATGTAAGAAATCAGATCCAAAATCCCACCCAGGAGACTAAAACCATCAGTTATCAGTATGAAGTCAAAGTATCACAAACTGTCCCTACAAGAGACAGTGATAAGTAGAAGACAGCAGAAGTGTTTGGAAGTGAGCTGGGACTTCATGGATCACACAAAGTTACACTAGAATTTACCATATAAGCAAAAATACTCTTTATTACATGAGAATGCCTCCCTTGTAGAAAGGTAGAAATCATTTGTACAAACACACAAAACTCACACAGCTAGTGGTTCTAAAGGTGTGCAATATAATCAGTACTCAGAAGCAGTATTAACACTGTGGTGGAGAAATATTTGAAGTGTAGGGATGAAGAAAAACAAGAGGGATGCCTCACCAAACCACCCAGTTTTGTTGGCATGCTGTTTAACTACCCTAACAGGCAGGAATGGGTCCAACACGACTTTTCTGGAGCAGAACACAACCCAGCTTGGGTCCAGAGCTCTAGAGCTGTTTTGTTTCCGCCGCATGCATGGAATGGGCAGTTGATGAGACCACACAACTCCCAGTCCAAAGCTGGACTGCTTCCTCCAGCTCAGAGCATGGGAAAAAATTCAGTTAGTCTGCAGCAGTGTACAGAGAGATGCTGAAATCATTACTCCCACAGCCAATTTACACCCTGAACCTGGCCTCAAGGGTGACCCATTTGGTACATCCTGTGTTTCTGCTACGCAGGGTTTGAGTCTGGTTTGGAGGTTTTTTTGCTTTTATTTATTTTTGACTGCAACAGAATTGAAGTACAGATGCATTCTGCAATTACATACATTACCATCTAGTGGGGTGAGAGGAAAAAAACCTGCCACCTGCATTAAAATTGTACACCCCATTCCTCCACCTTATTACTGCACAATCCTGGAAGCTGTGAACCTACAGAGAGCAAACCCCCAAACCCACGTATGATCTCCAGAAGGGCATGTGTGCGCAAACACCAATACTAGGGAATGCCTCAAGGCATTCTCAGTAGCTTCCTGAAATTACATTTTATCCAACTTGGCTTCAGACTACAATAAAAAGTAAAAACATCTAAATTACCTATGTCTGTATTTATTTCTTATTTTAGCAAAAATACTTTTCTGACACTAATTATAAACATGTAGGGGAAGACACTCCAGCATTAACAATGAAGTAGGTATTCTTTAAGTTGTTGAGCTTGTCTAATAAACCACCAAGAGTTTTATCCTGTTCAAAAAACACTTAGAAATCCAATCCACAAAGCTTGCCAGAACTCCCCGAAGTCTTGCGTCTGTAATCTTTGGCTCTCCTGTAATGTAGGCAAGAAAAAAACCCAGCTCCACCTTATCCTTCTGGCCACACGTGAACATATCACTTTACTGTCTCAAGGCGGCTGCCTGGATTTAACCATGCCTTTTTAATTTTTCTCACTTTTAAGGAAACGGAGCTTATTATTTCAGTTCTGTAAGCCTTTTATTAAACTAAACCAATAAATCCTGCCCAACGCCGTCCCAGCATTAAGGACAAGGGGAGCTTTAACACGCACAGCAGTTTGAAGGGAGATCTAAAAATAGAGCCCATTTTGCCAGTTCATTAAGTAGCTCTGGGATCAAGTGATGGTGACATCTCAATTGATTTCAAAGGAAATGGCACTATCATGGACACGCGGTCCTGGCACCACACCAGAACGAACAACTGCCCCCGGAGTACTCACTTGGGCAAAGCTCCAGCATGACCAGGCCCTTAATTAGGCGAGATGAGAAGCACGATTATGAGAGTCTGCATTGTTTAACTGCAAACAGCTTGGCAATCGTCACCAATCTAGAAAAACAAGGCGGCACACAGGGGATGATACAATTTAATAAGCAAACTGCTTTACTGCTGTGGTTGCAGAGCTCCTAAGCTGCTGCCTTTCCCATCAGCGAGCCCATCGGACTCCCCATGGCACAGCCTGTTGGCTTTCTCTGCTGAGGAGCGCTAGCAACGTATAGACAAGTTTAATGTGATGGTTTGGGAGTGAAACAGTGAGAATTACATTGAGCTGTCTGCAGCATACCAAACTCAGCCCTACCTGTACTGGCAAAGCAAGTCCACCAGCAAGTCCACTGCCCTTCTTTAAAACAGAAATGTGAAAGAGGAATGGCCATGCCTCTGCACAAGCTCCAAGGGATAATTCCTAATCTTCTTCAGTCCTGACACAGCAGGCCAGTTTTTCCTTAAGAAGCACTATGCCAAACATATCTAACTGTGAAGCTCCCAACGCTGCTGCCGGTAGGGCAGGATGAATCCAATGAGTCTTCCAAGAGGAGCCAGCACCAGACCTCAGAGAAAGGTGTAAAACGCATGATGCAAACCTGGCTTCACCGAAACCCTGCACAAAGTCTTTCTTCCTAATCCCTCAAAACTAGATGATGCCTTAAAGGCTTTAACCTTTCCAAAAGTTTTTGAGATTTTCTTCCAAAATCTATTATAATTCTAGCTGTCCCAGTTATTTGTGCCATTATTTATTGCTTTATGGGGCACAGCATGCTTTAAGCCTTAAATATACCTGGTAGGTAGGGAACTCCACAGGCCCCTTTACCTTGCACAGAAACTAAAATACCTTCACTTTTAAATTAGCTCTTTTTCAATTTAATTGAATCCATCTCCCAGATAAATTACAAACAGCAGAACTATAATTTACTGGAATTAACACTGCAAACTATGTGGAGGACATGGATTTTCTAACCTTGGCCAGCACTGAGTTTTCCATGGCTTATCGCTCTGTTTTAGGGCATACACAAAGCTGTCCAGATGCTGGAAAGAACTGGATGATCCAGGATGCACCATGTCAGAGGCTGCAGCACCCAGAGGCACCTTTCTGAAACACAGTACCTCCCAACACCCAGAGAGCTCCCTCGACTGAACCATGGGTCTTACAACAAGTCCAGATTAAACCCAGATTTAATAATTTTTGGTGCAAGCTACATGACTCCCCTCTTTCAAACACCATTGCATTGCTGCTGCCCTCTGTCATGGCACAAACTTAGAGATCCAAATGGAGCCAGAGATGGAGGAAAAAGGAAGGAAAGCACTAATTCAGTGCCTTAACTGGCA